CTTGATGTTACGACCAAAAAAAATTTGGAAGAAAAAAAAAAAGAAGACTATGATACTACCATTGTATAAGACGCACAGTTTTAGACCTAATATTTGTAGAAAATGAGTGCATCCTATACTTGGGGAAACATGGTATGTAGAGAAGGGCCAAACAATGTAAGTCAAGCTGGTGCTAAAGACCATTCAGGAAACGGTGATGTCAGTAATAAATATATAAACATTAAATCTTGAACAACATCAAACAATATAGGTGAATTTCTTCACATGAGAATCATATGAACCAGAGACAATATAGCACCATTAAAAATCTGAATGAACTAGTTAATAAAGGCAGCATGTGGCATGTGTAAGGACTAAACAGTTTTCTGTAACTTGACATTCAGCTCAGAGAAGGTTTTTTTTCCTTCTTAAACAGGGGTTTCAAATGAAAACCTCAAAAGTGTGATAGAAGTCACAATAGCCATACTTTTGTTTGATAACAGAACGCTGCTCCTTTCTGGTGCATGTCAAAAGTGGGGCAGTCATCTTTAAACTGTCATTATGATGTCATTGTGTTTGCACTGTGATGTCCTGTGCTTAAAACTTCTGAAATCCTTTATGACAGAGTGAAAGACAAGGGCATGATAACTGCTTTTTATCACACTCTTAAGGTTTCATTTGAAGCCCCATATTTGTTAATTTTTTTCACCAGTGACTACTTAAATTCACCTGTTTTTGTTTGTTACCCTGCCTCTTGATATGACAGGCAAAGATAAACACCCTAAACTGTACAGTTCATGGCGACAGCGCTAGCCAGGCATCCATAAATCCTCAGACTCAAAGACCCTCCTGCCTACACCGCAAAAATAGTAACAGGCAGTAATAGCATTATGTGAAAACAACATGATAACAGCCAATGTTGAGTGCATACTTGTTCTCCCCAAGAAGCTTACCGGCAGACATGTATGATGATGACAAGCAAGCAATAAGTACTAGATCAGATACACAAATCTAAGAGATCTGGTTTATTATCTTTGAGGAAGATGTGACATCAGATGATCCGATCAGATCTTCTTGGACTATTTCTGGTAACAAGACATCGCATCATGCCAGCGTCACTTGACTCGGGTAGGGTAACAAGCTGTAGCAACTGATGCTTCTCTCAGTACATGATCACTGACAGTGCTACATGTCACAGCAAAGTTACTGTGCCAACAGACACTTGGCTGGGCAAATAACTCAAGTGTTACATGTCACAGCTGTTACTGTACCAATAGACACTTGACTGGGCATATAACTGTGTTACATGTTACAGCTAAGTTACCGTACCAACAGACACTTGACTAGGCATATAATTCATTGTTACATGTCACATAACTCTGTGTTACATGTCACAGCTAAGTTACTGTACCAACAGACACTTGACTGGGCATATAATTCATTGTTACATGTCACATAACTCTGTGTTACATGTCAAAGCTAAGTTACCGTACCAACAGACACTTGGCTGGGCATATAGTTCAGTGTTACATGTCACAGCAAAGTTACTGTACCAGTAGACACTTGGCTGGGCACATAACTCAGTGTTACATGTCACAGCTAAGTTACCGTACTAACAGACACTTGGCTGGGCATATAGTTCAGTGTTACATGTCACAGCTTAGGTTACTGTATCAATGGATACTTGGCTGGGCACATAACTCAGTGTTACATGTCACAGCTAAGTTACTATACCAACAAAACACCACAGCAAAGACACTTCGCTGAACACATGACCATTTCTGGCTTACTTGATATTTAAGTACATTTAACGATAACACTTTCACATGCAGTAAAAATGTTACAATTAAAACAAATTAAAACTGTTAAAGATAACAGGCAGTTTACAACTCAAACCATAAAGATAACAGGCAGTTTACAACTCAAACCATAAAGATAACAGGCAGTTTACAACTCAAACCATAACATAACTGCTAATGACAACAGCAAACTGCCTTATTACTGAATAGTAACAATAAATTTTTTTTTTTAAACCTGGCTTGGATTTTCATTAGCTGAAAATAATTCAGTAAAATTCCAACAATATCAATAATTGTGATAAATTAATTAAAATTTTGAAGAAGACCGAGAACAGATATATTAATAATAAGCGCCATGGATTTCATAAAATGTCTGTGTGTATGTGTATGTATGTATGTGTGTGTGCGAGCGAGCGAGAGAGACAGAGAGAGAGAGAGAGAGCACAATTCTAACTTAGGGGATTTGAACACACATACACAACCCCAACATAATAGGGTTCAAAATCAAATGCAAAAGGTTGTCTACCAAGTTGCAATGATTTTGACAATTTGAGAAGGCATTGGCAGATTGATGCACATAGAACTGCCTAGAAAAACTACAAGCAGTCAATAAATGCTAGGGTTAGTTTGTGGAGCACTCAAGTGGATTTGTAACTCTATATATACTGAATATGCCAGTATGCCAGAAGTTTTAGGACGTGTGAGTGTGCACATAATATTTATGAGTATGCTGACAGAGGCTAGTGCAAAATACTGAGGCCACTTAAGTTTGTGAATCAGGTGTTGCTGGGAAATTCTCTCCAGTAAATATATAAAAATATATAACCAGAGAGATAAATGGAGGCGAGTGATATCTGCAGCAATGAACCTCAAGTACTCGGAATGCTGAAGGAAAAGGAGAGAGGAGAGTACTGACGCATACACCCATATACTGGGGGGAGGCCCATTTTCTTTTTTCCATACCACAGTGTTCCACAGTGCTAAATGGAAGCATTCAAGTCACAGCCCATGGCAGAAGCAACTAGCAAGACCAGCTGGCATTAAGAAGAATCTTCCCCATTAAGTATATGAGATTTCAGGACCACTGTTGTAATCACATTGTATTTCTTTTTTTTTTTTTTGGTATTGACTGGCTGTAAACTCCGGTGGAAAGTTCTAGGTGTTTGCCCAGACATGGACTTTAGTCTTGTTCCAAAACCCGAGTGCTGTGTCCACATCCTTTCCTATATCTGGCTTATCTGTATGCAGACACTTTGTTACTTGCCTCTCGGACAGATGTACTCTGAAGAATGCCTCCAATTAGTCAACTCCTTCAACATGCTTGTTTGGAAGACAGTGGGTCCATTCGTGTTTTCTGCCCACAGTGGGGTGCCGGGACCCAAATCAGGAACATGTATTTAACATGTTTCTTAACAGGATTCTTCTTCTTCTTAGAGTCCATGCTGTGTGGCTTTGGTAGTCATGTCTATCCACAATCTTCTGTCTCGAGTACTTTCAATCAACTCTTACACAGATGATCTTCCATGCTGTGTGGCTTTGGTAGTCATGTCTATCCACAAGCTTCTGTCTCGAGTACTTTCAATCAACTCTTACACAGATGATCTTCCATGCTGTGTGGCTTTGGTAGTCATGTCTATCCACAATCTTCTGTCTCGAGTACTTTCAATCAACTCTTACACAGATGATCTTCCATGCTGTGTGGCTTTGGTAGTCATGTCTATCCACAAGCTTCTGTCTCGAGTACTTTCAATCAACTCTTACACAGATGATCTTCCATGCTGTGTGGCTTTGGTAGTCATGTCTATCCACAACCTTCTGTCTTGAATACTTTCAATCAACTCTTACACAGATGATCTTCCATGCCGTGTGGCTTTGGTAGTCATGTCTATCCACGACCTTCTGCCTCGTGTACTTTCAATCAACTCTGACACAGATGATCTTCTATGCCGTGTGGCTTTGGTAGTCATGTCTATCCACAACCTTCTGTCTCGTGTACTTTCAATCAACTCTGACACAGATGATCTTCCATGCCATGATGTCAGACTGTCCATCATCTGTTCTATCTGTCTCCCTCTGCCTCTCCTTCCTCCAACTTTCCTACCGTCACGATGTACTCCAGTTTTCTTCTTCTCATCACATGACCAAAGAGACAACAGATTATGTCCTTCAAGACTGTCCCAAATACAAAACTTTGCACCAAGAGAAACATCGATGCAAGTCAAACTTTACGGGTCGCTGAGTGAATTACAAAAAACAGTGAAGTTCATACTAGATACAACATTGCAGATATAGATATTCTATTTCAAACGAATGAAAGAAGAAGAAGAAGAGAAATTGACCAAAGAATGTAGAAGCCAGCACATTATATATAAGAGGAGGATATATATGGGAGGATGGAGCAGCAGTGGGTTGCACCGATATGCTAGAATGTTGATGGAGACAACAAGTAACACACATACAATATCAGTAATATGTGTGGGAGAGGGAAAGCATATAAATAGATAAATTGAACTGTGCAAAATAAAATAATTAAAATGACTAAATAAATGCATAAATAATATTTCTGTGATTTGACTAGAAAGTGTGACCAATGCAACAACAACACAAAACTGAGCTGTGTGAAAAAAATATTCAACAAATCAAACATCAAAGACTAGTAATTGCAACATAAGAAACATAAACTGCAAATAATGAAGAAAAAAAAATTTACGTTTTTTTTTTTTTTTGTTTAAAATGTTATTAACTTCTGAAAAGAACACAAATATTTAAATATCTCCTTTTCAAAAGCTGGTACCACAAATATAAAAATAAAATTTAACATAAAGAAACAAAAATTTTTGTAGATAAGAATATTTATATAAATAATTAAATGCAATACAAATTATGTTTGTTTGCTTTTCACCATGGCTACTCATCCGCTTATGACTGTAGAGCAATCAACTGTTTTGAATATCTTGATTTGCCAGGTTGAATTTGGTACCTTACTCAAAATGATAGGTGGCCATGTATGGCAATACTTAGGTGTTGGGTGTTGTACATCTTAGAAACATGGTTATACCAAAAAAAAATAAAAATAACATTTTTAACTACAATTCAACAAATCCAGATTCAAAGACATAACTTTAGAATGTTTGAGGACTCTAAATGTGGCATGCGAACAAACGCTGGGCAACGTAAGATGCTTCTTTGCTTACTGGCTGCTTTTTCTTATAGCACTCCCCCTCATTGTAGGTCTCCATCATCGTCCATGTGGCTGCCCTCAAAATCCTCATTATTCCCGCTGCTCCTTATCAGTGGATTAAGGACACTAGACACTAAGCCGGCATTTTTGCTGGAGTTCCCAGAGCGGACAGTGGCTAACCCATAACGCTTTCGGCAGATGGAGGGATTAAATGGGAAAATTCCTGCCTTTCTGAACGTTGAGTGTAGATTCTCAGCGGACATGTTACGGTGGTACAGTCGACATAAGAACTCACAGATGGAGGCTGAGGAGACAGATGCAGATTCAGATGTGTACAGTGGTTTCTGCAGTTCATAGCAGAGCTCTCGCTGAAAAGTGTTGCAGCATCCAACAGCCATTGGATGGAGGTGGGGATTCACTGTAGTCTGGGCTGTTATAAATACCACCTTGAAAGCTGAGCCTAAATCGATAACCGCCTGATTTAGACAGCGTCCAAAGTTGGCATCCAGTAGAAGGATTAGAGTATCTCCTGCCCTGCCAGGAGCCTGTGACAGAAAGTGCTCTCGCAAAAATGTCACCAGAACCTCTGATGTAGCCCGGCCTGCAGGACAAGCCACTCCACCAGCTCCTGGTGTCAAACCAGACAGAACTGACTTCTCCATGGTTTTACCAGCGAACAGCAGAAACGGTGGCAAAGCCTGTCCTGCTGCACTCCCACAAAAGAGAATGCTGGAGGGAACCTTCCCAAGAAAAGTCAGCTTGCGATGAAGCTTACTTCCATTCACGGTGCCACCGTTCACGCTCAAGTCTTCGGCTAAAGACACATCACCATTTTTTAACATTGGCAACGGCAGTTCTACTAGGCTGAAAATACAATGCGGGCTCTCCTTCATATTATAAGTAGTCAATATGATGTCTAGCTGATTAAAATACTGCTTCTCTGGTCGCTCCGCTTTGGTCTTTCTGGATTTTCTGATGTAGCATTCTGGGTGGCGAGTAAGGAAACTTCTGAACCATTTGACAGTGAGCGGTCTTCCTTGAGGTCGCTTACCTAGGTGTACTGCATATTCTGAGGCCATCTTTACAACATCCAACCTCGTGTACTTCATTCCTTGCTCCTTCCACTGCTTCAGCTGGGTTGCAATGATAGATTCTTCTGGCTCTGAGAAAATTGGCCGACGTCCTTGGATAATTACATCATTCTCAGTAACAGCAGGGGTAGGGGGATCATCTAGATGATTTTCAGATGCAGCTCCAGGCTCACTACAATCTTCATTGCTGTAGAACTCTAGCATGGGGCCCAAATCCATCACAGTCTCATGACCGTTTTGTTGTTTTAATGTTGAACCCAGGCCAGAACAATGGGAATCTGCTTTCAGTTTTTCCAGGTCCACATCACCATCGACGCAGTCGTAATTCTCCCATTCATTGCTAGTGTTGCAGGTTCTCGCACGAGCTTCTTTGCTGATACTCACTTGAGAATCATCATTTTCAGCTTTCTTTTTCACATGTTGTGGTTTGGTCTGCAAAAAAAGAAATCATGAAAAAGTGTAAAAAGATGGTTACAAAAAATAAAAATAAAATAAAAAGACAACAGTTATTCATTAGTAGATACTGATAGGAATTATGTTAGTCTTACAAGTCATCAAAGAACAACAAATGAAGTGGTTTGGACACCTTACAAGAATGCCCTGGTACTATCTGCCACAGCGAGCCACACTAAAACGTTACAATCGGTATAGAGCGAGTCGAAGACCTCGGAAAAAGATGGAGTGATGGCATTAAGAACAGCCTTACAGAAATGAACATCAGTCTTAATAGTGCTCTTGACAGAGCTCATCAACGAATGTTGCATCTCCCCCTGACACTTCGCTGAGGTACAAGTTGGAAGAGAAGAAGAAGATACTGCCATAAAGGAACCTTTCTATTGCTTTCAGGCATACTAGGCAAATCATTTTAGACCTATATTTCATAGACCCTTCAGACCATACACAGTGGCTGATCTGGTCAAATTATGCTGGCCGCCTTTACTTCCTATGACTTTGCCTGGTACCCATTTAAGGCTGGGTTGACCTGGGAACCAAGGTAATTTATATATTTTTTTAAATGTCAGGCTGATGCTGCCACTATATAGTTAAATTAATAACACACATACACATGTATATACACACACACATATTCAGCTCTAGATCTTTTAACTTCCAACAAATTCCAATTTTTTTCTGTTTTCATATTTGAATATCTCAGTCTCCGACATCCAACATTTAAGGGAACATCAAGAGGGACAAACAGATAGAGTGTTACTGATACCATTGGCATAGGAAATCTGGGCTGGCTGCTGAGGGGTACGGAGCCCTTATGAGATTGTTCTAAGTGCTATAATGTTGGTTCTTAACTAAGCTCAAAGTGCTACCTGAACAGTTAGACCTGTGTAGGGTCATAATCACACTGAGCCGGAAATGCAGAGACTGGCCAGCAGGTGCAATGGAGAAGGAAATTCAGCAATTAATTCAAGATAATGCTCACTCAGAGGATTTGATCATTTACACAGATGGTTCAGTGTCAAGAGGCAAGAGAAGTGCTTGGGGTTTCTTAGCAAAAGTTAATGGTCGACGTTTGGGGCAGGAGAACCTAGCATATGATACCACAACATCCAGCTTGAGAATGGAAGTAAAGGCAGTCACTGCCTTTACACACACACATCGTGATTGTAACTGACTCAGAAAGCATGCTGAGGAAGATCAGGACAGGTATGCTTTGTGCAGAGTGGCATGCTTCGCTGCTGAGGACACAGGTGAGGAGTATTGTCTGGATTTTTTCACTGGCGCGCCGGTGTGTTGGAAAATGAACAGACGGACAGACTGGCTGGCTCTGCACAACTTGGTGGAATACTGATACATGATAAGGCAGACCTGGTTAGCGCCTTGTGGGAGAGCGTTTTACAGTTCGAAAACGCAGATGGATCACCACAGTCTGGTGAGATTGATGCAGGGGGGAGTGACGAGAGGTTCTGGCAGATGCTCGAGGCTCAGAGGAAAGGCAAGATGGACGTTTAATCAGACTGCTACTGGCACCATTAGTATCAGAACTCTTCGCTGGCTGCTGAAGATGGGGATGGAGCGCCGTGTGTTGAAAATGAACAGGCGGACAGACTGGCTGGCTCTGCACAACTTGGTGGAATACTGATACATGATAAGGCAGACCTGGTTAGCGCCTTGTGGGAGAGCGTTTTACAGTTCGAAAACGCAGATGGATCACCACAGTCTGGTGAGATTGATGCAGGGGGGAGTGACGAGAGGTTCTGGCAGATGCTTGAGGCTCAGAGGAAAGGCAAGATGGACGTTTAATCAGAATGCTACTGGCACCATTAGTATCAGAACTCTTCGCTGGCTGCTGAAGATGGGGATGGAGCGCTTATGGGAATGCCCCTAGTGCTGTGATGTCGGTTCTTGAATCAAATAAAATAAAATCAACTCAGCTCAACTAAAATGTCAATCTTCCCCCAGCCACTTCCGCTACCACCAATTTCTCTTCCATGATATGTAAATGTATACGATTTCACAAGCTGTAGTAATTTCCCATGTTGAAGGATCTTTAGAAAGGATGTAAGTTTTTTTGTTTAGTACAATTTTGAAAGATGGTGAAAGCTTTGTCTTTTCAGTTGGTTTTTAGTTAAATTATTTGCTATTCTGTGCATGGGGTTGTTGTTCATGTGTTTAAACTTTTTCTGTTAGGGTAGGGTAAGCACCTTTTCTTCCCTTCGAAAGCTCAAGCTCTGGAGACCAGAAGTTGCCTCCAGCTCATACAGCATAGACGTACAGCCTAACTATACAGTCACAACAATGCAGCAAGCAATTATTGATTCAGCCAAAGTGCTGGAGGAAAGAAAAATTAAAAACAGCAAAATGTCTTCCTTTGTGACTCCATGTCAGTCCTCCAGGTGACTCAGAGAGATCCACGAGACAACATGGAGTGAGAACTGACCCGCCAGTTAAACAGACTCACAGAAAACAATCAAATCGTTCTCTAGTGGATCCCGACTCACTGCGGCATACCAGGAAATGGGTTAGCAGACAGACTTGCAAAAAATGGAACAAAGGAAATCAGAACACTTATGAAGAGAAAATGCAAGGAATTGTGGAGAGAACAAACTAACAGTAAACATCCACAAGACCCCATCAGCAGACAACAGAAAGCAACATACAACAATTTTCCATCTATGAACACTATGGACACTACAGGCTCAACTACCACATGCATAAAATAAAGATTGTACAGTCCCCATAGTATGCCTGTCAAACAGGACCACAAACACCTGAGCACATTCTGCAGGCCTGCCCACTCTACCTACAATTTCGAAAAGACACCTGGCCTCAAGAGCAAAGTGTGTAGAGCAAGCTACAGGGAACCATGAAGGACCTGCTACTGACATGCGAGTTCATTGAGGCAACCCACCTGATGGTCTGATCTGAGCATACGAAACCGAACGCAAAGAAGAAGAAGAAGAGCAAGCTGTAGTTAGGACTCCTCATCTAGTTTGAGAATGGAGGTGGAGGCATCACTGTTGTAACTGACTCACACAGCATGTTGAGAAAGGTAGAGGTATGCTCCATGCAGAGTGGCAAGCATCAGTTCAGAAGTCCTGGGTAGTTAACATCCTTTGGATATCTTCTCCAGGTCAACCAGTGTGCTGAGAAATGAACAGGTGAATAAACTGGCCAGTTCTGGTGAACTGATGTATGACAAGCCAGATGTGACAGTGTCCAGGCACAGACAGATCATCACGGTCTGAGGAGAATGGCATTGCGAGGAGTAACCAGAAAAACTGGCTGACGCTCAACACTCAAGGGAAAGGCGAGACGGATATACAATCAGACAGTTACTGGTACTATTGGAACTCTTTGCTTGCTGCTGAAGATGGGGACCAAGCACTTATGGGAGTGTCCCGAGTTCTATGATGTTGGTTTTTAATTCAACATTCAATCTAGTGAGGACTAAGGGAAGTCTGGTTATCATCTGCAGCATCAAAGGTAATGACAGTGCTGATATTTTAGCTACGGAAAGTGGTGTCAAAAAACACACTACCAGCCATACTCATTTCCAGAAGTAAAGAGCTTCTTTAGGAGAAAATCTGAAACAGCCTGGAAAACGAATACAGGCACAGACTACAACTGTAAAGAAAATTTTCTCAAACACCTGATAAGAAAAAACCTAGTCACCATATTTAGTGTAACTCTCATATACATTAGGTATCAGCCAAAAAGATCTCTGCCCTTGTCTTTGTTCTCAACAGACTTCAGAACATGGTCTGCAAGACTCATATCACAGTTAATTCAATAAATGAAAAAGAAACAACTGAAGTATTTCACACTTATGCACTGGACACTGCAGACAACAAACACTCATATAAATCGAGAGTGAGCCAAAGAGCTCTCTGCCAGTGTCTTCATGCTTAACAGACCCCAGAACATGTCTTGAAAGACTATCCTCTCCTGAAGGAGCTGCGAAGCAACATGTGGCCACACCCAGTAGACCTGACAACTTAGTTTTGGAGAAACAAACCTAACAGACCTTGAGATGACATCCCAGCTTTTGACCCAAAGTGAATTAAGCTCATGGCTGAAGAAGCAGGAGAAATACTTCGGCCACATTAACATAACTAACCCTTTTTTTAAAAACCATACTGGAGGGAAAGGTCAAAGGTAAGACAGCAAGAGGCAGACAATGATACAAGTGGGAGGAAAACATCTGGAGATAGACAAACAGCAGTCAACTTCTTCTTCTTTGTTCACCAGCTGAAAGCTGCAGTGGAAAGTCCTGGTTGTTCATTCATTTGGACTTTGGCTTTGTGCCAGGGCCTGATTTTTGCATGTACATCTGTTTTACTGGCTTATTTGTGTGCAGTTGGTTATTCCTTGCCACTCAGGCAGATGCACTCCGACTCTGAAGAAAACCTCTGATTAGTCTACTTCTACGATATGCTTCTTGGGGAGGCAGTGGGTTTATTCTTGTTTTTCTCCCCCACAATGGGGTTCCAAAACCCACACGGGAAGAAGAGCCGTCAGACAGTGTGCACCAAAGACGAGAGACAGAGCGTGTTGGAGATCCACTGCAGTACCTTCACTGTGGAGATGGCACCTGATTGACTGACTAGGATCTAATAACTTCTGCTCACTTTCTGACAAGCTAGTTCTTGGTGTGTCTCTTTTGTGGTGCAAGCAAGAGTGTTAAAATAGAGAAATAAATATTTTCTTGGCAAGAACTGGGTTGATTGGGGGCGGGTAGAGGGGGAGGGGGGGGGGGAGGCTCAAGGGGTTAAATTCTAGTTTAATTCTCTCTATCCCAGGTTAGTTGCATATCCTTTACAGGATGTTGCAGAACCAACCTCAACAGCCCCTGGCTGTTGTGGGGTTTTTTTCTAGGCAAATTCACGTCCAGTAGTTTGCCACTGCTTTCTGGACAGTCGGCTTTCTTGAAACCACTGTCAAAACCAACGCAAGGCGCATGGCCTGCAGCTGGGATCGAACCCGGCATCCCGGCATTACGAAGCGTTTGCATCAAGTTAGCCACAGAGCCGACTCTCTCTATCCCAAGCAATATAAAATGTATGTGCAGATTTGTTTTTATTATTTATTTCATGTTTGGTCTAGGTATGCAAAATAAATCTGGCCAAACATTTTAATACATCAAAGTTTCTACTTTGAAACCAGCTAGGTCTGAGAGAGAAGAGCATAGTAACAGTAATAATAATAATAATACTGCGTTGAATTGTAAATACAGTTAGTAATACATTTCAGTAATAAGAAATTCATAAACAAATTCTTTTAAACAGAATTTCTATACATAGTAAAAACGGGCTGGTTAGAATCTTGAATTTGTGGGGTGCTCAAATGGCCTCAACCCCCAGGTTCCGACACCCCTGCATGCTAGGGCCCAACCCATAATATAGGAACATAGATGCTTGGCAATGTGTCAAGTAAATCTGATGCAGATTTGTTTCCTGCAAATATACTCACACGTCCTACCTCTACAGTAGACCTAAATAGGGCACACAAACACGGTTTTCAAGACATTTTTAGTTAATTTCTGACAAGCAAAAATAACCATAGTAAAAACAATCAGAGTAAAACGGTGTTCTCGCTTGGGTAAACACCAGAAAAATGTACTTTAAAAAATCCATAAATGGATATATTGAATGTACTCACCCACTAAATAATGTAGACCCCAAAAAAAAAAATCAAAACTACTACATAATTATCTTTATTTTTATTATTAAACATGCCGGCAATTTAATTACGATACATTAAGAAGCGATATCTATGCATTACATATTCTGCAAAATAGAAACAATCCCGGTAAATAATTCGTGAAAGCTACACACGGCCCCGTTCGCCATTGGGGCTTTTTAAGTCAACTGTGTGTGAGTACCTTTGACTACTCACCTGTTTAAAACGCATGTTGCTTTTACGACCACCACCGACGTTAACTATCGAAACAAACAAAAACACGCCATCGAGCGATTCATCAAACGGTCAGGCCGTAGGGTCGAAAAAGAAATCACAGTTTCCCCACAAATGTGTGGAAATTCATATGAAATCAACAAGGGTGTTTGCCATTTTCCCCCAAAAAGTGATACGCAGTGAATATGTAGGTTACAGTTTATCGTTTGCAACAGGGAGAAAGGTAATGCAGCAGTAACAAAACTTGTTTCCCCGGGTCCCGGTAATGAATGTCTGCCTATAGATTGCATGTAATAGGTTTTTCCTAAATTATGTCATATTGCGCTCTCAAGACATCGGGTTATGTAATGACTACATTTGTTTTTCTACGAATGGTATAACCAATTATTTCAGTTAGTTTGTGTAATTTATATTGTTATTATTTAAAATAATTTTCTTATTCTCCTTCACTGTCTCTTTTACCGCTTCAGGTTTCAAGAAAGAGAAAGAGGTTAGGGAAAAAAAGTGGGAGGGGTGGATATAAGATTCTTTTTTCTTGCTTTTCTGGTGATCTCGACCACAGGTACACCGTGTTGTAGTAAAGTTTATGTAATATTATCTTCCCGTGCTGTTCTTGGTCTACCTCTTGCTTTAAGTCCCCATCCCATTTTGATGTACCCCTTGTTTATTATGGCGTCGGAAGGCTTCCTCTCTAAGTATGCACACTATTTTATTAACTGACTTTGTATATAATTTAGAAGTGGTTCGATGCCGACTTTTTACTTCATTTATAATTTTACCTCTTCAGGCCGGTCAGCAAGAGAAGGGGATCTAAGTAAACGTTACTCCACCAGGATATCACACAGATCGATAAACACCCGGTGACACAAAGTGCCACCATGCCGATGGGGATTACCTGTGGAGAGGTCCCAGAAACCGCGTTTAGCCTTCAGACTATATTGCGGCCCCCGGCCCGGGGAGGGGGGGGGTGGCTTCAAAATAACGAAAAATTGCGTCCCACATGGGGACGACCGTGTTATAAAACGGTATTTAAGCAAACCCCTCCTTTTTTGAACCAAGCTTTTTTTTTTTTTTTTTTTAAAACAAGTGTCAATGCACAAAAAAGGGCGGGGCGTGTCCCTGGAGGTGGCTCAAGGGACATAATCCTATTTTAATTAGGAGCACAATAGTAATAAAAAAAGTACGTCAAGGACCCATTGCAACACCTTTAGATGTACTGGACATGTAATGCTAGAAATATATTTTTAGACCAATCGGCACTATAGGGGTGGGGGGGGGGTGGGGGGGGGGGGGGGGGGTTTGGGGGGGGGAGGAATGTAGTCAGCACAACACCGCCTTTATTACCAGGAATTTACCTGATACCCATTCAAGGCTGGGTCAACCTGGGAGCCAACGTCAGAAAGAACCTTCCCAGCAAAGCTATTGGAAAGCGTATACGAGTGATGTTATACCCCTCAAGAATTTAAACCTGTTACTCTAATAAAATGTTGAGTAGATATAAAAAAAAAAAATATAAATATGGCCAATTGTCTGAACGCGGTTTCTGGGACCTCTCCGCGGTGATCTTCATCCACATGGTGGCACTTTGTGTCATCGGGTGTTTATCGCTTGTGTTATGTCCTAGTGGGGTAGAAAGTCAGTCAGTCAGTTAAGCCAGTCCTCGTTTGGAATTCGAACCCGACTTTCTGATCCTGAGGCGTGAAAATATACTTTTAAAGAGAATTTCTATACATATTTAGGAAGCCGCTTAGCCCCTATAACATTATGAGCGGGAATTGGCGGAAAGGGGAACAAAAAAGGTGGTGGGGGGGGGGGGGGCATTCAAGGGACCAAAGCACACAAGTACCGGCGTCTATGAAGTGAGCTATAGTGCGTTTCAAATGTCGTGACCTGACAATTTAACAAATATCTCGAAAACTCTTGTACGGATCAGCATGAATTTTTGCATGTGACCTTAGATTTCATTTGTCTTTATGATTTTATAATTTTAATTGTACAGGTGCTGCTGCTTTCTAAAAGCGGCAAATTTCTTTGATCTTTGTTTACTAATGAATTGTAACCCTAAAAATGTAGTACATAGTAACTGGCACATGCTTTGAGATTGTTTGGAAATCAATTCCCGTGTGCAGCGATGTATGGTATTTTTAATAGCCTCTCCTGCATACAATGAAAAATCCACAAATTCATCATCATCGGGTGCCTTGCCGACTGACATGGACAATCATGTCTCTCCACAATCCGCTATCCCCTGCAGCATGTATCAGTTCTTGTGCTGACACACCTCCATGCCATACAACAAGACTGTCAAGAACCTTCTCTCGTTGTCTTCCTCTATCCCTCCTTCTACAAATCTTTCCAGTGGTCACAACATGTTCCATTTTCCCTCTTCTGATAACATAGCCTAAAAATGATGACTGTCTTCTACTGATATCTGTGATAAGTTGTCTTCGGGCTTCCGCCTCTTTCAAAACTTCTTGGTTGATCATTTTGGCTGTCCAATGTATTTTAAGCATTCCTCTGTAAAACCACACATCTCTGATAATGTGTCATACATTTTTAAATGCGCTGGAGATGAAGGTTTAGAAATGTGTCAGTACAACGTACCTTTGCGTATCGTCATAAAAAATTCCTGATCTAAATTATAACCTTGATGAATTAAACAGAATATTGTTGTTTAAGTTACTCACTACGACTAATACTTTATAATTAGATCATAGTTTCTAGTGTAGACATGGAAAGCGAGGAAATCAAGGTTACAATTTGAGAGCATGTATTTTCCCTGCAGCAATGATGTGAGTTGTGGACATCGCAGAGTCCTTAAGAAAGAAGACATGGGCAATAATGCAAAAGAGTGATTTTCAGAATACTATGGACAAAGAAGAAAAGTACTGACATCCTTAAAAAAAAAACTATTTAACAAACATCTTGTCTTGGATGCTGCAGTGAAGTTTGAAGTTTGGACAACGGATCAACATCATGGCACACGGGTAGTAACCCATAAGTGCTCCATTCTTCTTTTATCAGGTCTGAGTCCGAAGAAGTTCAGCACAGTGCACAGGCTATGTAGCACCGGCGAGGATCCTGAAATACTTTTGGGTAGATTTTTAACTACAGATTTTGCCCGGGCAGCGCCGTTAGGCTACTCTTTTCGATTCCCAACTGCCAATGGATTTTTGACGTAGGCAACAATGCACACGGGTGTCCGATCTCGGATGCTAAACTATTTTGACCAAATCAACCGCCGTGGCGGATTGGAAAAGAAAACAGAAAAGCAGAAAGTATGATGTCAGGAAAGAGAGCAAGGGGTCAACCATCACGAAGACAGGCACATGATATAAGTATGTGACTCCTTAGGTATACGATTGTCTGCGTTGAGAGCTGGCGAGCTGGCGAGAAACCGAGTTTCTTTCAGGCAGACTGTAATGAGCGCAACCTTCCGCAAAGGACCTGCTAAGTGTTGAGGATGAGACACGGGAATATCAAATCTTTTCAGAAAATAATTCCTAAATTACAGTAATATTGTGAGGAAAGAGATGTAATTTGTTAACTATATTAATTATGTTAAAGAGAGAATTTATATACAAACAATAAGCGACTATTTGTGCGCGTTTGAAAAGCCATTCATAAGAAAGACGACAATGACGGCTCCCCGGCAGAGCTGCCGAAAATTTTTTGGGGATAGTACAATTTTGTGTGGAAAGGAACCAAAACGGACCAAAAGGTCCTGGAAAAAGAAGACCAACCAGCGAGGTGAAAGGAGACTTGTGATGCCTGCAGCAGTGAATCTTGAGGGCTCGAAATGCTGAAGAAGAAGAAAAAGAAGCAGAAGAAGAAGAAGAAAATTTGATTTGATTTGATTCAAGAACCGACATCACAGCACTCGAGGCATTCCAATAAGCGCGCCGTCCCCATCTTCAGCAGCCAGCGAAGAGTTCCGATACTAATGGTGCCAGTAGCATTCTGATTAAACGTCCGTCTTGCCTTTCCTCTGAGCCTCGAGCATCTGCCAGAACCTCTCGTCACTCCCCGCTGCATCAATCTCACCAGACTGTGGTGATCCATCTGCTCCTCCGAACTGTACACGCTCTCCCACAAGGCACTAACCACGTCTGCCTTATCATGTAGCAGTATTCCACCAAGTTGTGCAGAGCCAGCCAGTCTGTCCGCCTATTCATTTTCCAACACACCGGCGATTCCCGGTGAAAAAATCCAGACAATACTCCTCACATGTGTAATCCGCAGCGAAGCATGCAACTCTGCACGAAGCATACCTTTTCTGATCTTCCTCAGCATGCTTTCTTAATCAGTTACAATCACGATGTGTGTGTGTGTGTATGTGTGTGTGTGTGTGTGTGTGTGTGTGTGTGTATGTGTCGTGTTCTCTAGCCAGCGGAAAGCTGCAGCGACAGCCTCCACCTCAATTCTTAAGCTGGATGTTGTGGTATCATATGCTAGGCTATCCTGCACCAAACGTCGACCATAAACTTTTGCTAAGAAGCCCCAAGCACTTTTTTTGCCTCTTGACACTGAACCGTCTGTGTAAATTATCAAATCATTTGACAATTTGAAGAAGAAGAAAAAGAAGAAGAAGAAGAAGAAGAAGAAGAAAAAGAAGAAGAAGAAGAAGAAGAAGAAGAAGAAGCAGTGGGAAAACATTTGAGGAAGGGAGAGCGCTCACACTCCAACCACCACGACCTCCTAACCACCTAGAAACACGCACACACACACACAAATTAATTGGGCTAGGGTGGGAGCTCAAACCTCTTCAGCCCCTTCCCTAAAATAAGAAACACTGGGGCGGGGGAGGGAGGCTAAACACCCCGCCCCAGTCACAACCACGCCCTCCTCACCACTTTTCCCCTTTTCTAGGCAAATAATTGTGGGCGGGTGGTGGGGGGGGGGGAAGGCTGGGAGCAGGGGTCAGGCCCTTGAGTGCACCCCCAAATAATTAAGGGGGGGGGAGAGTGGGGGGGGGGGTGTGCGCCCCAGCATCGATAATTGTGCACAGGGCTAAGATACACCCGGTCACTTTAATCCTATATAGAAACTATAAAACTATTTGTTTACATAATTTATATTATTTCGTGCACATTATTATTTTATTTATTTTCCATTCTTCGCTTTATGTCTGTTGTTATTTTTTTTTAAATTAAATTCCCCCTGTGGGTTCCGGGGCGCCATTGTGGGGACAACAAGAATAGACCCACTGCCTCACCCAAAAGTATGTCGTAAGAGTCGACTAATTGGGAGCTTCCTTCGAAGTCGGAATTCATCTACCTGAGAGGCAAGGAACCAACAGTCTGCATGCAAATAAACCAGACCTGTGAAACGTATGTACACGCAAGACTCACTTTCTGGAACAGGACTAGAGTCCAGAAGTGGGCGAACAACCAGAACTATTCCGCCGAAGTTGACAGCCGGCGTACGTGAAGAAGAAGAAGATTATTAAAAAAATAGCCGCCATCTTGTAGGGCTAGACCACGGCTTTCTCTATTTAATCTAGAGAAGGCCGTGGCTAGACATCCTGACTGTGCCTGATTTTTTTCAAGATATAACCTTGGCTCCCCTGTGGACCCATTCTTGAGTGGGTCATCGTCATCATGAAGTGCCTTGCCAGCTGGCGTAGGCGTTCATGCGTCGCCACAGATCTCGATTTTTGGTGTTCTGGATCAATTATACTGATAATATTCCCCCATGCCACTGTCTTAAGCCATCCACCATCATTTCTCTAGTCTGTTTCTGCCTCTTCTACCAGTGATTTTTCCAGTCGTCGCGATATTTTCCAGTGCTCTTTTTCTCATTGCGTGACCAAAGAACTTTGTCTCCTTCTCATTGTTGTAAATAATGTTCTACTTTCATTATCCATTTCCAGGCATTCATTGTTGGTTATTCTGGCAGTCCAAGGTATTCTCAACATTCTTCTCAAGAACCAAATCTCAGGTGCTTTTAAACTCTTCTTAATTTGTTTGCTCACATTTCAAGATTAATTACCATATAACAGAACAGGCTCGATATAACATTTCAATACTCGTTTTCTGATGTTTTCTGAGAGTGATTTATTGCATAAAATACTTTTCATCTTCTGAAAAGCTGCTTTTGCCTAGACAATTCTGCTCTTAGTTTATGTCACACATCGTTCATCTGATGTTATGAATGTTCCCAAAAACTTGAATTTATTGACCTATTCTTCTTTGATACAACCATTGTTTCTGTTTGCCTGGCTCGACACACAAAAATACACCCGCGTATGTATACTCAGTGATTCAATGAGTATGATCCGGAGGGTTCAGGCAGGTTCGGTGCGAAGACAATGTCTTAAATCATTACAGAAGTCCACTGTGCGTGGAGTCACCTTTATTTTTGTTCCGGGACACGCAGGCGTCGATGGAAATGAAAGGCTAGCCGACGGCCAGCCTATGGATCATGCTGATATTATTAATGCCCTCAGAGAAATGGGAAGGATAGAGGACTATGGTGGCAGTGAATCCACATCACTCGCCAGAATAGCATACTTGGAAATTAAGATCGGGTTAGCAAAAAAAAAAACGAGGCGCCCACTAGACACGCCAGAAGACTTGTTAATCAACATAGAACTGGTACTATTAGCCATCGGACGTTGGGGTTCATACTGAGGGGAGGATCTGAGCACCAATAGACATGTCCAGAGTGCAATGATGATAACCCAACTAACTAACTAACTAACTAACTAACTAACTAACTAACTAACTAGCTAACTAACTAACTAACTAGCTAGCTAGCTAACTAACTAACTAACTAACTAACTAACTAACTAGCTAACTAACTAACTAACTAACTAACTAACTAACTAACTAACTAACTAACTAACTAACTAACTAACTAACTAACTAACTAACTAACTAACTAACTAACTAACTAACTAACTAACTAACTAACTAACTAACTAACTAACTAACGAACTAAGTAACTAACTAACTAACTAACTAACTAACTAACTAACTAACTAACTAACTAACTAACTAACTAACTAATTGTTTCGGTTTTCTTGATATCAAGGGGAGCCCCTTTTTTGCCCTCTTTAGGACCACAGTGTCTAATAGTTGTTGCAGGTCTTCCGCGTTTTCAGCTATTAATACTCTATCATCTGCATAACGAAGATTGCTGATATTTTAACCTCCAACTAGTATTTCTGGTCTACCCTTGAGTGGGTACTTGGGAAATAAGGGCGGCCTGTGTGGTGCTGACCACATCACCCATCTAGTACCGACTGTTCTATAAATATCATACATCTAGCAGTATATACCCAATACGCTTGAAGGCATGGACGATTGTCGTTTACTTATTATTATTATTAAATGTGACGAATGGCACATAAACATAAGGATATACTTGAAATAACCATATTTGGTCAAAATGGGGATAGGGTCCCCATTTTGACCAAATATGGTTATTTCAAGTATATGGGGGGGGGGGGGGAGCTGAGGGTCCCTAAAGATTTCATGGGGTGGGTCTCAAGGGACTCGAGTTCCCAGATTCCAGCGTCTCTGCCCAGGCCTTAGCTCTGGAAAGGTCTCCAACACCAACGCCACAGTTCTATGGTCTCAGTAATCAGTATTGTACGAAAGTGCCAACTTCGGCAGCCCTGCTTCCAGGCACGTTCACGTTTGTATCGTTAACTGCTGAACTGACAACAACCTGGTCTCTCACGGTCTTGTGCCGTCCTGTACTTCGCCTATGGACAAATCGACATCGATCTCGCTGAGTTTAGCAGAGAAGGGATTTAGAATTCACGGTTGACAACTGTAATTATTTACAGGACTGGGAATACTCGAGCGATGGCTCCTGACTTTGAGTTGATTCAGAAGACTTTGCTGGAAGTGTTCAAGCATAGGGATTTCAGATCGACAACTCAGAGAGATGCTGTTTTGTCTGTAATTAAAGGTACGGCACTACGAGTGACTATGTCGGAGCATATACTGATAACTTCCATTACTTAAATAGTAATAAATACGTGTAGCCGTGTAGTATAGTTTAAGCTGTTTATGCAGCTGTAATGTAATAACGGCATATAGTATACAACAACGACGATACACTTTATAGGCTTTCCTCCGAATAACGGTTCTGAATTATCGAGGCGGAAAATATACCCTAACAGGGCCTCAGTCACGTGTCATTTGCGCACTTCCGTCGTCTTAAAATTGCGCACTTCCGGCGACTTCCACCATCGCCGAGAGTATTCCTTACGCTGTTAAGTGGCGTGAATTGGGGCTAATACTAGATGGCTGGGACTCACGAGCAGCAGCTACCGCATCTCCTGCAGCTTCCGCATCTCCTGCAGCTTCCTTCATTTTATTTTCTCGTAAGTCCTAGCTATCTAGCTTAGCCCCAATCCACGCCGCGTGAACGGCGTGGGGGATACTCTCGGCGGTGATGGTATAGTCCCTGGAAGTTCGCAATTCGGCGTTGGCGTCATAGTCCCCGTAAGTGTGCAATTGACACGTGACTGAGGCCCTGTTAGGGTATATTTTCCGCCTTGATAATTTAGGACCATTATTATTATTGTGTCAAGATGGCGGGACGTGTTTCTCTCTAGCTCGGCGCATATCGGTTGATCGACGGTCCGACAAGCTGTCATCGCAAAACCACCAATTGTTATAGAATCAGATTTCTGACTCTAACTGCACGATACTCTTAGAATAATCGTTGAAGATTCTACAGAATTCCAGTCGAAATTATTGATCAACTTTGTCGACTTTCAAAAAGCCTTCGACAGTATCCATCGTCCAACACTCTGGAAATTGCTTAACATCTATGGTTTCCCCATCAAATATATCAACATCATAAAATCTTTTTATAATGAAACACGATGCTGTGTAAGAACTGATTCCGGCAATTCTGACTGGTTCCCGGTGGAAACAGGAGTGAAGCAAGGCTGTGTCCTATCGCCGATGCTTTTTGGTATAGCAATCGACTGGGTCATGCGCAAGTGCATAAATAACGCAAATTTAGGCATTACATGGGTTGACAAAATTCTGGAAGACCTAGACTTCGCCGACGACATAGCACTCCTGAGTTCAGAACACACAGACGCCCAAGAAAAAATCAATCGACTCCAGGATTTCTCAGAACAAATTGGACTCCAAATTAACACCGCAAAAACAAAAATTCTAGACCTTACCAACAGTTCAGTTGATATCACGCTGAACAACAACAGCCTTGAAAAAGTCAACAGTTCCACTTATCTAGGGAGCAAGATGTCATCTACAGGAGATACCGCACCAGAAATATCATTTAGAATAGCACTGGCATCTAGTGCCTTCAATAAACTGTCTAACATCTGGAAATCAAAGACACTTAGCAAACACACAAAACTCAAGATCTTCAATTCTTGTGTGATTCCAGTACTAACCTATGGATGCGAGAGCTGGAAATCAACGAAAACTCTAGACACAAAATTAGACAGTTTTGAAAATAAATGCCTTAGAAGAATACTAAATTTCAAATGGTCAGATTTCCGAACCAATACACAAATAAGGCAAGAATCCAGGCAAGAGTATGTGTCAAATTTTATACGAAAACGCCGCTGGAACTATGTCGGCCACGCCCTTAGAATGGATAAATCAAGACTTCCTTACCAAGCCCTCATCTGGACACCACAGGGGAAAAGATCTCGTGGAAGACCAAGGGAAACCCTACGTAGAACTTTCATCAGGGAAGGCTCGCTCATGGGCCACTCAAACATCCAAGACCTACAACGGATTGCAACGGACCGCCGTGCATGGAGAGTCATGACCTCTGCCCTATGTGCCGCACTCGACACAAGAGGAAAGACTAACTAATTAGGAGGATAGCCAATATATAAAATCGTTTTCAGTATATAATAATTAATAATAAAATTATTAAATCGTTTTCATTTTTCTCTTAAAATCCGGTGCAGTTAATAATATTAATCATTAATGTATGACATTATAATATTATTTAATATTAATAGGGTGCGATTATCCAATCTTAGCTTAAATCCCCTGCTCACTGTTATAAGTGCCAATCATAGCTCAGTGCTTGATTTATGAGTTGGGTTATCTTCAGCAGGCCCCCCCCACCCTCAGAGCAATATATCAGCATCCCATTTTGCTAGTACTGTTATGTGCTTCTTGTAAGTCCTGTGTGCCTCTCATGCTTGGCTGTGCTAATATTCACTCCCAGCTGTCACATTCTTAGTAGTGATGGGGACGCACTGCTCCCAAAATCCTCTAGTTATCCTATCTCTCTAAGGGCATTAACAATGTCCCTAGGATCTATAGGCTGGCCGTCAACAACTAAGGCAGAACCGGACAGTTTTTCAGTTTATATATATATATATGTGGTTAGTTCCATGATAATCCCCCCAGAGACCGCCCATATACACACTATACACACTAGCTCACTTCTGATTGGTCGACCTTGAGTCATTTGACCTTGGCACAAAGTGATGGGGGTGTTCCCCATTGCTGTTGATATCGCGTGTTCTATATTTTAGCATGCCAGCACTTTTAACACTACGAAAACATGCAGAAACTGGGTCTAACACACAAACTCCTTAGAGAGTGCTGCAACCTATATCACAGCCATTCTCTTTCTCGAAAGAAAAACGTAAATGTAAGACAAGCCGGAAAGCAAACATCAGAGCGACACACCCATAACTCTCACCAAAGTAGACCAGTCCAAAAAAGTTATGAATGGAACTTGACCTACTTTCTCTGGGGAGATTAACGTCGAACTATATATGTATATATATATATATATATATATATATATATATATATATATATATATATATATATATATATATATATATATATATATATATATATATATATATATATATATATGCCCAATTATTTACAATTAGACAGTTACTGGTGCCATCAGAATTCGAACTCTTAGCTTTCTGCTGAAGATGGGGACGGAGCTCTTATGGGAATGTCTCGAGTAGTGTGATGTTGATTCTTATTTCAACATTCAGTGTAACTAGCATGAAAATGGTTATTTACTTTTTATTTCAATGCTCAGTTGGGAGATGAAATTAGAAGAAAAAAAGAAGAAGCAACAAATACAAAAAATTTTAAAGCATTAAAAAATATAGATAACCCAGATTTATCGTTTACTTGCAGGTGATGGTGATACTTATATCTCCATGCCTACGGGGGCTGGCAAGTCTTTGTGTTACCAACTTCCAGCAGTCCTGGCCAAGGGAATAACAATCGTTGTCTCCCCTCTGATTGCTCTCATGCAAGATCAGCTCAGCCATCTGGAATCCCTAGGCATCAAAGCAGACACCATCAACTCCAGACTATCTGCTAGCGAAAGAAAACTTGTGGTATCAGATCTGCTCTCCAAAAACCCTAAACTCAAACTGTTATACATTACTCCAGAACAGGCTGCTACAGATAACTTCAGGGACCTCGTTAAGTCTCTTTTCTCTAGAGGCAGATTATCTTATTTTGTTGTTGATGAAGCTCACTGTGTTTCACAGTGGGGGCACGATTTCCGACCAGACTACCTCAAATTAGGAGAATTTCGCCGAAGAATTCCTGGTGTCCCATGTGTTGCGCTGACTGCAACAGCAACAGCACATGTGGTGACGGATATTTTCAAACAGCTTTGCCTAAAGGAGCCTGTAAAACAATTTAAAACAGGTACTTTCCGCAGCAACCTCTATTATGAGGTGTGCCTGAAAGATTTCCTTCCAGATCCTTACTTGGACCTTGTCAACTTTGTGTTGAAATGTCTGAATGTCAGTTTAGATGAGGATGACGACCCAGATTGGGTATGTAAAGTTTATCTTTTACATTATTTCACTTAAAAGGTAGTTGCGTGTCTTTTACAGGAGGTTGCAGAATCAACCCCAGCAGTTTTGGGCTGTTGCGGTTTTGCTCAGCAAATTTATTTCACTAGTTTACCATTGTTTCTGGACAGTTCGCTGTCATTGTCACAGTCAAAACCAATGCAAGGCAGTCTGCTGCTAAACTGCCTACAGCTGGGGTCCAAACTGGCACCCTGGTATTGTGAAGCATGTTTGCAGTGCCTAAGTGACAGATGCCGATTATGTCTGGCTGCTGTGGAAGCAGAAGTTCAATCCTTGATTTTTGAGAATGCTTCAGAGGGTGATGCTGTCATTTACACAGATAGGTCTGTAATCCACCATGTTAGAAGCTCTTGGGCTTTCACGGCTCAGTTTGGAGGGAGAGTTGTGAAGGAAGATTCTGGAGCTTTTGCCATAATTACAAATAGTCTGACTATGGAGGTCATGGCTGTGACTAAAGCAGTAACATAGCTAGAGACACAGACTTTCACTGGGGCATGCTTTCTCAGTGACTCGATGAGTATGCTCAGGAAGATAGAGAAGGGCTGGGTTGGAAGGCAGTGATTGGTTGCTTTGCAGAATTTCTGGCTGACAAAGGTTAGTTTTGTTTTCATGCCAGGACATGTGGGGGTACAAGGAGATGAGCAAGCTAATAAGGCTAGCAGGTAAGGCTACTGTGAAAGCCAGACAAGCCATGGACCAGGCTGATATACTGAATGCTCTAAGAGAGTTAAGACGTTTGCGTGAACCAACTGAAAACTGTGAATCTGCAACCATGGTCAGACTGCAAAAACAAAATGTTAAGCGGGGTGTCGCCAAACAAGAACACTATGCAGGTAGCCAAAGAAGAATAATAAACCAACACAGAACTGGCGTGTTAGCCGCTACACACTGCAGGATTTACTGAGGAGGGGATCCCAGCACTTATGGACTGAGTGGTTCGACGTGCAATGAGGATAATCTGTCGAACTAACTAACTTAAAAGTGCATTCACTTCATTGTGGCCTGTGGTGATAAAAGCAATGTTCTGCAAGGATTTGTTGCATGATTATGTGTCTTGGAAGTTGTACTGATCCTTAGGGTAAATGATTAGTTACTGCGAGTTTGTCTTTCAGTAGGAGTCCTGACACAACAACATTAAACGTGTTTATCGTGTTGAAGAAGATTTTACTCATTTGTGTGGTCAATGAAGTTATGGACTGTGAATTGCTTCCTGTTGATCTCCAGAGGGTGCAGCCGGTGACTAGTGGAAAGCTCAACATAAGCATGTAAGGTTAAACAGTCATGTGCAGGATGTGACGATTCTTTGGGGGAAACCCAGGACCTAAGTGTTATGTGTCGGCTCTGCATTTATGGAAGCCTCCTTGGATGGCGGGGAATGCCCATGATCGGCCCCTTCCTTCCCTTGAGGGCCGATCAGTCTAGACGCGGCTGCCCTGGATGGGCTCTCCAGGGACATCACTTGTAGATAAAGAGTCAAGAAAGAGACCACACAAATAAGGCTGATACTGTCCGGGAAGTTAACCCGGTCAACAAATGCTCGATGATTTCGGATGTGCCGAAAGGTGCAAACATAGCAGCTTGGCTGTAAACAGGCACAATGCAATCTTGTTACTGAGACGAACACCCCCCCCGCCCTAATAAAAAGGTCTTTTACCCAATTTTCTAGTTGAGGTTTCAACTTCGCTGCAGTCAAGTTTTCCCATACTTGCTCCATTCCTGTGCCAGTGAAAATCAGATTAAATGTCCCTGACTGTCTTATTTAAAAAACTTGTGGACAAACAATTAGTCCCGGCATAATTCAGAACAATCCACACCAGAGATGCAGTTGATCATTGATGGAACTAGTGCATAAGGTATTTCACCAGTGAACCGGCTACCGGCCATATTGAATACCATGACATAACCACTGCACAAATAAAAAAAAGGCATTCCACGTGAAAAACACAGCTCACATGGCTGCACCCAGCACTAAACTCGGTAGCTGAGGCAACAAAACCGTAGACTACCATCGATGTGTGATAACTACATTAGTAAAGTGCTGTCGGAAGTAAAAATATCTTTGAAGCTAACATTCTGCCATGCCTAATCCTCCATATTAGACCAGAAGTATCCACTGCTTTATCTTTTGTAAAATTGACTTTTTTTACCTGCAATATTTAATTAATGACTGTAAAAGACCTTTTCATGACATTGGCATAATATGTCGTATGGTGCTAAGCGAATTTTTTCACTAGACCAATTGGCACTTGATGAATGGTGAGGTAGACATAACATTGGCTGCCTTTACTTCCCAGGACAATTCCTGGTACCAGTTTTAGGCTCAAGTGACCTAGGAGTCCAGGTCAGTTGTAAAAAAAATCCGCCTTCATGGGGATTTGAACAAATGTCTTCAAGGCCAGAAGGCTGATGTCTAGTTAAGGGAATAGTGTTCCCGATGTAGGTTCTGAGCCCTATTGTGTCTTACAGGTCATCAAAGAACAGCAAATGAAGTGGTTTGGACACCTAACAAGAATGCCCTGGTACTATCTGCCATAGCGAGCCACACTAAAACGTTACAACGGGTATAGAGCGTGAAAAGATGGAGGGATGGCATTAAGAACAGCCTTACAGAAATGAACATCAGTCTTAATAGTGCTCTTGACAGAGCTCATCAACGAACATTACATCTCCCCCCGACACTTTGATGAGGTACAAAGTGGAAGAGAAGGAGAAGAAGAAACTAGTTAGGGATGTTTCTTTAGAAGTCAAGAGTACATGAGAGTCTGAGAGACAAGGAACCAACAGTCTTGGTCTTGACTTCCCAGCACATCAGTCTGACCCATTTGTGCTCCGTCCTCCAATGCAGCAGCCATGTCAGTGTCTCCATGCTCAACCTACCCAGTAAGAGTTCATTGGTGTATCTTCTTTCTTTGTTCTGCAACTGGTTTCGGCATGCTTGTCCTCGTGTAATACCCATTTCCAACAGGTAGATCATTGTCTCCGACTCTTTTATTTCAAACCAAGTCTGTATGCAGATAAAGCCGATCGATGGAGATGCCTGCACAATTCAGGTTCTGGAATAGGACACAAAGTCCAGAAGTTGATGAGCAACCAGAACTTTCTGTCGGAGTTTACAGCTGGTCAATGAGAAGAACTGTGTCCTCCACTGTTTAGCCGCTGTAAGATTGTAATGTCGTTTTATATGGCTCTGAAACTTGGAGCACAACCAAAAGAGATCAAGCCTTATTACAGGTTTTTGAAAATAGTCTTACGATGAATCTTTGGACCCATCAAAGATGCAAACAGCGGTGAATAGAGTGAGAAGCAACAAGGAAATTATAATCTGTTTAAATCACCACAGATCACTGGTGTCATGAGAGCTAATAGACTGAAATGTTTGGGGCATATTGAAAGAATGTCAGATGACAGAGAAGTAAAAACTGTATACACAAGGGAGATGAATAGTCATAGACCACAAGGCAGACAAAGAAGATGATGGAGAGACAATATCCAGACAGACCTGCAAACGGTGTCACCAAGTGGAAAAAAAGGGCCAGCCAGAGAGATGATTTGAGGCGGATGATATCTGCAGCAATGAACCTCAAGGGCTCGGAATGCTAAAGAAGAAGAAGATTATAATGTACATTGTTTGTCATTCAGTGTATTTTTTATTTTTTTTATTTTACATATTGACAGAATGAAAAAGGGTGTGGCATTGTCTACTGTCGAACAAGGGACGGATGTGAGGAGATTGCCAGCCAGTTGAGTAGACGGGGCATTCCAGCGAAAGCTTATCACGCTGGGCTAAAGGGCGATAAAAGGGAAGAGACCCAGACTGACTGGATGGAGGGCAGAGTTGCAGTCATCGCAGCAACCATTAGCTTTGGTATGGGGGTTGATAAAGCTAATGTCAGGTACACCAAGCAGCCTTTTTTGTTAGATACTTTCAGAGAGAGGATATATGTATGTGTGTATGTATATATATATATATATATATATATATATATATATATATATATATATATATATATATATATATATATATATATATATATATATATATATATATATATATATATAAGCACACAGACATATATATACACATATGTTTATTTAAATATGTGTGTATGTGCATATATATATATATATATATCTGTGTGTGTGTGCGTGCGTGTGTGTTTTTTAATTTTTTTACTTTTTCCAGATTATAGTTCTATATTGTCCATTTGGAGACATGGAAAACAAAGCCAGTATAATGACAAGATTCAGTGGTAAGACCTGCCCATGTTAAGGAAAATCCTTAACAATAAGCACAAGTTCAGGTCTTAACTTGTCTGCAATCTTTTTTTTTTCTTTATCTCTGTTTCTTTCCTAGTTTCCTCCATGTCTGATTGCATGCTTTGCTGACCCATCTGTGTGAACAAACGAACCCAATGATCTTATGGGTATCCATCATCAAGCAGACTGAGGATGGCGGTTTTACACTTAACTTCTTCCTCTTCTTCTTCTTTGCATTCACCAGCCGTAAACTCTGGTGGAAAGTTCTGGTTGTTCATCCTCTTCTGGATGGTAGTCCTGTTCTAGAACCTGAGTGTTGCGTGTGCATCCATTTTACAGATCTGACTCATTTGTATGCAGACTGCTGGTTCCTTGCTTCAGGCATATGCACTCTGACTTTGAAGGAAGCTCCAAATTAGTTGACTCTTACGACATGCTTTTTGGGAAGGCAGTGGGTCTATTCTTGTTTTCCCTATAATAGGGCCCCGGAACCCACACTAAACAACTGTTTTGTTCTTTCTTGTCAAATGTTCCTTTCACTTCAGTCTTAATATGTATTGGCCCCGCTCATTGATGTGTCGGGACCAATGGGAGAAACCATGCCTCATGCTTGATTTTGTAAACACTTGTCTCCAGAAGGTGCAGCCTGTAATGAGTGGGAAGCTCAATATATGAATGTGAGGGTCGCCATAAAATTATACAGCACAGTGACAACTGTGAACCTCTTTAAACTACAGTGAAAAGGCGAAAAATGGTATGGACATGCAATAAGATCTCACGACCTCTCAAAAACAATACTGCAGGGCGCAGTAGAGAGAAAGAGGAGAAGAGGCAGACCAAGAAACACCTGGTTACAGAACCTAACTGACTGGACAGGCATGCAACCATGAAGTCCATCGCAACTGACCGCCAAAGGTGGAAAGAGCTGATTAAACAGTCAACAGAAACTGGTGACCCAAAGACACCTAGTGTTACCGGGTGCTGATGATGTGAGGTTAAGCAGTCCTGTGTAGGACGTGTTGAGCCAAGGACCAGTGCGTCGTGAGGTGGCTCTGCATTTATTGAAGCCTCCTTGAATGATGGGGAATGCCCATGTTCTGCCCATGCCTTCCCTTGAGGGATGACCAGTCTACTCATGGTTTCCCTGGATGGGTACTTCAGTGGCAACACCCGTAGGTAAAAGGGACAAAGAGGATACCACACAAATAAGGCTACACTATGTCCCACGTAAGCAACTGGGAAGGCTAACCCAGTGAACAAATGCCTAATGAAGTCAGATATGTCGGCTGGAAGGCACAAATATTACAGCTATACTGTAAACAGGTATGAGGCAATTATGTCTCTGGGATGAATGATGATGAAGAAGAAGAAGACTGTCACTTTTACTCATCTCATTCTCTTTTCTGTCTCTGTAACTCTTTCTCTCTTTTACTGTTACTCTGCCTCATTCTTTTTATTGTCCTTAGTTCTCATTCTTTGACACGGTCTCTGTCTCGTTTTTTGTTCACCGTCTTTCTCTACCTCTGCCAGTCCCCGCCTCACTTATAGCTTACCTCGCTGTTTATCTGCCAACAGATTTGTAGCTCACTGGACGATGCCGAAATCTATGGCCGGCTACTACCAGGAGTCTGGGCGGGCGGGGAGAGATGGCTGTCCTTCCTACTGTCGTCTCTACTACTCTCAGGGAGAGAAAAACATTGTAGCTTTCTTGATAAACAAAGAGAACAACAGGACAAAGGTAACTTTGAAACAGTGAATTAGGTTAGAGTTTGTTTACAGTGAAATATTTGAACATAGAAGACACTAAAAAAACACACACACACACTAGAATACACAATTTATTGCCTGGCATATTTCGCTCTCAGGTGCATACTGCAGTAACAGTTGATTAACATAAGCGAATAAATGAATCCTTCAAACTGAAACACAAAATTTGCTCCATTAAAAAATAACCGACCGTTTCACTTACCTTACATTTTGTCTGCATAATTCTGGACACAAATATATTTTTTTTAAAAACCTATGAAGGAAACATGAATTTAGGCTGTTCCCATCTTGTCTGATTTAATTTTTGAATCACAGCCTGGTTGCAAGATAATGTTCTTTTGTATGAGTATGAAATTCTGGTACTGGATTTGCCTTACAGCATCTGCTAAAATTAAAAGCTCCATCTGAAACACCAAGATCACAGTATGTAAAACATGGATAAGACAAGTTGTTCTGTACGGCTATTATCTATACTCCTGGAGATGTGTTGTAAACTGAATATTCAGAAAATGGCAGCTGGCTGTTTGCCACAAAATTGGCGGTGTGCCTTATGCAGTACTGCGTGTGCACCTGCTGGTTTGTCCTGACAGCTGCTTTCATCAGCTATGAATAGCAATTCTAGCGACAGACTAAGTGTTGGCACCTCTGAGCGCTGCCAAATGCATTTGATGCGTGTGCAAGCTGTTGGATTTAGCTGGGATTGTTGTCAATTTGAATTTTTACAAGGGAAAAGTGGACATTTTGTGTGGTTTTCGCTAGTACAGGAATGGAAAAATTATGGGATGACCCATTTGTGATTATAGTCTGATAGTCTTTGGGCCTATCAACAAAGTAAACAGTGGACAAAGGAGGGTGAGAAGCAGCAATGACATATAATATGTTTCTTCTTTTTCTTTTTCTTCTTCTTCTTCTTCTTCTTCTTCTTCTTCTTCCTCTTCTTCTTCTTCTTCTTCTTCTTCTTCTTCTTCTTCTTCTTCTTCTTCTTCTTCTTCTTCTTCTTCTTCTTCTTCTTCTTCTTCTTCTTCTTCTTCTTCTTCTTCTTCTTCTTCTTCTTCTTCTTGTTCTTCTTTGCATTCACCAGCTGTAGATCTGGTAAATAGTTCTGGGTGTTCATCCACCTCTAGACTTTAGTCTTCTTCCAGAGCCCAATTGTTTGAGTGCACATCCGTTTCACAGGTCTGTTTAAATCAGCACTAATTACTGTCATCCTGAGGGTTAATAGACTGTGATGGTTGGAGCGGGTGATAATGGGCAGATAACAGAAAGACAAAAACTGCATACACAAAAGAGTTGAATATGAGTAGTCTGTGAAACCGGGTCAAGAAGTACTGTGGAGAGATAAAATACATGCAGAGCTACAAACTCTTGAAGTCACCAGCTGGAAAGAAAAGGCAGGTCTGAGATATGAATGCAGGCAGTGATTTCTGCAACAGTGATCCTCAAGTTAATATTATTCCCCGTGTGGGTTCCGTGGCCCCATTGTGGGGAAAACAAGAATAGACCCACTGCCTCCCCAACAAGCAAGAAGCTTAGCAATCCCGTGGATCACCTGCCAGTTAAATTGTTTTAATGATCTTTTTCTATGCAGGGGCTTGGGTCTTTGGCCTGCGACAATCTCCATTTTCCAACATGTTGGCCCCTGAGTAAACAACATTGAATTTTCCTGTTATACATAATGTCAACTCTCCTACCACTTCTTTTAGCCTGCAAAGGCCACTGCCATGACTGACTCTTATTTCTGGCATCAAGATGGACACTGCAACTTCTCGGCCATGCTGTTCCCTAAAAGAGTATATAAAATTCACCTGTCTTGTCCTTCCAAGCAGTGACAAACTACTAAGCATAGCAATAATAGATGAATTTGTAGTTGAGACTACCTTTTTGCTGCAAACGGGTAACCCCATAATTTCTCCATTCCTATGCAAATGAAAATCAAGCAAAATTCCTCTCACTGTTCCATTTAAAAATGAGTTTGCAAATAATTAGTTCCAGCAAAGTCCTTAATTATTATACACATGCATTAAGTGCAATTGGAAGTTGCTAAAGATGTCATCAACAGTTGCCACCAGAATCGTAGTCTGCTGTTGATGGAAGTAAGTAGTCCTTCCTCATAAGACTGCATAAGCAGCGCAGTGATTTAGGTCACAGATGTAAGGGAAAGTTAACCTTTTGTGGTGTGTATAAGGAAATACTATGTACCTCCCCTCGGGCCCCAGCAGGTTCTATGCTGGTTTTACAGATCCGCATACAAGACTCCTGCCACACGTCCTCATTGTGCGCTACAGATAACAGCTCATATTGGCCTATATCAGGAGTTTTGTTCGCAGCTTGGGCGAGCAGCAACATTTCCTTTGGGCGGCATCTCACGGTCTCACGGTACAGTCCCGTCTGTATATATCCTTTGTATGCTGTTTACCCTGTCAACCCTCAGTGTCATAGTCACTGCTAGAAGGTACACCATGGCATTCCGCCACCGTCAGCTGGCTAATTAGGCTAAAATGCCATTCATCTACTTGCCCTATGAAATAACAGCAGTCTTAGATGTTTGACCGTCAGATGGCCTACTGTTTGACAGAAAAGTTCAAATGTTCGTTACTGTTGGCCTCATCAGAGTGTCAGGATCAAATCTGGGAGGCCATGCCTAGTGCATACCTTTTCCATATCTTTTCCATACTGTCATGCTAAGTGTCCCAGTACAACAATGTACCCAAACACACTGAAGAATGCTAGGCCAGTTTGAGTGATCATTGAAGTCCTGGACCTATAGGCTGCTCCCTGTTGATCCCCAGAGTGCCCAGCCCATGACGAGTGTGAGATTAGGCAGTCATGTGCAGGACATGATAATTCCTTGGGTGAGTCCAGGACCAGAGCATCATGTGTCGGCTCTGCATTTATGGAAGCCTCCTTGGATGGCGGGGAATGCCTATGATCTTCCCCTGCCTTTCCTTGAAGCCTGACCAGTCTAGATGAGATTGCCCTCAATAGGTTTTCCTGGGCAACACCTGTAGATACAGAGACAGAGAGAACATCACCCAAATAAGGCTATATCGTGTCCCACGAAACAGACTTGAAGGCTAACCTGGTAAATAAATGCCTGCTGAAGTTGGATGTGTTGGCCCAAAAGTGCAAATTTTGCAGATTTGCTATAAACAGGGGCAACACAGTTACATCATGCAGACGAACAAAAAGATGATGATTGCAAAACACATTTCACCATCTAAATGCAAATCGGTAACTCATCATTGTGTTAATATCACAGTCACTGCAGGCACAAGTGAAAGGCAATTTCACATGAAATACACAGCTCACAGTGCTACACCAAGCTTTTAATTCAGTAGCTTTGACAGTATTAAGTAAAATAAAGGTACCTTTACATGTCAGTGGCTCAGCGGGTATATGAGGCTAGACTTTTTTTTTTTGGAGCAGTCAGCCCTCGATGGGTGATGTGGGCAGCATCCTGCCAGCCACCTTTACTTCCCAGGACTTTGCCTGGTACCCATTGAGACTGGGTCGACCTGGGAGCCAAAGCCATGTTTAAAAACTATCCAGTCCCATGTGGACTGGAACCAACTACTTCACTGCAGCTCACTTTGACAGTACTAAAAGTAAAGGTCCCTTTTCCACGCCTTTAGGCGTATTGGGAATATAGGACTAGACCTATATTTTTATAGACCAACCGGCCCTTGGTGGGTGATATGGTCAGCATCACACCGGCCGCCTTTACTTCCAAGGATGGAACCTGGTACCCACTCGAGGCTGGGTCGACCTGGGAGTCAAAGTCATTTTTAAAAAAAAGTCCGGCTCCACCAGGACGCAAAGCCACGACCTTCCAATCGGCAGGCGGGCATCCAGCTGCCAATGCCACGGTGACCCCCACTTTGACAGTTCTACTGAACTTAAAATTGCCAAGTAAAACAACCCAGCAACCAATCAAAGCAGGGGCTGGTTTATGATGCACCTTTTTGACAGCTCTTGTCCTTGTGTGGGTTCCTGAGTTCCACTTTGGAGAACAAAGAATAGATCCACTGCCCTCCTTACAAGCATGCCATATGAGGCAACTAATTAGGAATGTCTCCTTCAAAATTGGAGTGCATCTACATGAGAGGCAAGGAACCAGTAGTCTGCATACACATAGGCCCGATCTGTAAAATGGATGTGCAAGCAAAAAGTTCTGCAGCAAAACTAAATTCCAGCAATGGACAAGCAACTTTCTATCCAGAGTTTACAGCTGGTTAATGTTGAGAAGAGGAACAAACTCATAAATCCACCGAATCACTTAAATTACATGTGCTTATGTGATCTTCTACTGCCAGTTTGATTTGGATTATTTACAAAATTCTCTGTGCAGTAAAATTCAAAATTTGTGTTGTTCTTTCTTTTTCTTCTTTTCTTTCGTTCGCTTGAAACACATTATCTATATCTGCAATGTTGTCTGTGGTATGAACTTCACTGTCTTGTGTAATTCACTCAGCGACTCGTAAAGTTTGACTTGCACCGATGTTTCTCTTGGCCAATAGTTGTGTCTTGATATGTTGTATTTGGAACAGTCTTGGAGGACATGGTATTTTGTCTCAGATGCCAATCCACATGTGTACATGGCTGATTCGCCAATCTTAAATTTTGTGTACATGTGGCTGCGAAGTCGATTGTGACCTGTTCTGAGGCTAAGAATAATGACTAACTCTGGTCTGTCCACAATATGATAATCGTATTTGTTTTTGTTGTTGATACATTTTTGGATAAATCCCGATACATTTATTTATTTTAGAAAAGTGCAGAAATGGCAAGACTCCAGGCTAAAGCCGCTGAGGAAAGTTTTGGAGCTCTGCTAGCATTTTGTGAAACTGCCAAGTAAGTTAATGTCGTCATTCATCATGCCACTTTTTCTCTTTGTTCCTTTAGAAAGAGGGAGGACCCTGTGTGTGGTTTCTTTGTACATTTAGTAAAAAACGCCTTTACTGCCTGCATTTACTACTTTTGCAGTGTCCGCAGGATGTCTTTGAGCCTGAGGATTAAGGGCCGCATGGCTGGTGCTGTCATCATATACTGTGAAGGTTAGGATTTGTATGTGTGCTCCCGATAGAAAGAAACTACAGCTTTAAAAGGATTCGAACTTGTGTGAGAACCCACCATTCTTAACCCTTCAGCCAGCCACTGCTCATTTGTTTAGTACAGATGTTTATATTGTTTGCTCCAGTGGTTTAGGGAATTGACCTACAGGAAGGCCAAAACTATGGTATAATGACTTATGCAAACGTGACCTGATAGGTACCAACGTAGGTACAGAGACTTGGAAAGAATGAGGTGCAGATTGACTACTATGGAGACAGAAAGTGAAAGACAGATTGTGGCCAAATGCAAACCAAATGCAGCGAGCTATAGAGAGGAGAGGCCAGAGAGAGAAAATCAGCCATATAGCGAAGGAGTATCTACTTTTTGTGTGTATCCTGTGTGGCCGAGACTGCCACTCTCGCATTGGACTTACAGTCACAACAGATGCTGTTTCCAAATCCAACGGCACATATCAGTAGTCCCCAGGGACGGAAGGAGGCCATTATTATTATTATTATTGCATTGTTTGCACTTTTCTGTCTTTCCAGACAGAAAATGCTACAGAGAGACAGAGGAAACCCAGCCTGTGGTGATTGTGGAGTGTGACAGGCAAGACCACTTGCCCATAGCACAAAGACTGGGCTGTATTGTAGAGACCATGTGTTGCCCAGCAATCATGATCCCTCTCATGGACTTGTTTACTCCAAAGGAAAGGTACCACTAATTCCATTGGAACAAAGCAAGCTGAAGAAACTGTCAGATCAAAATAGTAGTGCTCTTTCTGTCCACCTGTTTAGAAAACTTCCCTCTATGACCTGCTGCAGCCAAGGCTAAGGGCTTGATCTGCCCTACCATAACATTAAGTTTTTGGTGTTACATGTCCTCGTCGTAGGATAAGGCAGGTGTCCTTCCCGGTACAATCTTCCACCCGAAGCCGTTACGTTGGCACAAGTTTGGTATGCACTGTTCAGCCCTCGGCATTAATAGAGAACAAGTGGTACATCATCCACTGAGTGCCGAATATAGGTCTATTCCTGTGTGCCCAGTATGCCTGAAGGTGTGGAGAAGGCTCCTTTACTTTCAGTCATATCTGACTGAGACCAGGCAGGCGGTTACACAAACAACTAAATGTGAGTTTGTCAGATTCTGACTTTGTTGTGCGCACATTAAAATCACATTGTCTGATGAATGGCAAATATGTATCTGAAGACAAGGAGACAGAGAGTCAAATGAATGGGAGAATGGATGGTTAAATGGATTAGGGATGTTTGGTAAAGTATAAAGGTAAATGAGCAGATAGATATGTAGATAAATGGTATGATAGAATCACTAGTGTAGTGCTTTGGGAGAGAACTAAACAGGTTCTAGTGGAGGTGAAGAAAAGATGCTGGCATTGGATAGGACACACGTTGAGAAAACCTGAGAACTTTATAACTAGAATGTCTTTGCACTGGAACCAACATTAGCCTAGAAATAAAGGACGACCAAAAAACACATAGAGAAGACAGCTAGAGAGTGAAAAAGATCACAGGAGGACATGGAGCGAGCTGCATGCAATAGCGAAGGATAGAATGACTTGGCGTGAGTTGTTTGAAGGTCTATGTCCCTCTGATGGATAGAAGTCAGAAGAAGAAATGTAGATAAGTAGATAGGTAAATAATACAAGAAGAGAAAAAAGAGAAAGAAAGAGGTTTCTCAGCTAACTGACCAAGGCCAGTTAAAAAGTTAAAATATTTCTAATGTTTACAGGTAAAATATTGTTAAAGTTTATAGGTGAAACATTTCTAATGTTTATAGGCGAAATATTGTTAATGTTTATAGGTGCCGACACTGGTCTATAGCTTCTTTCTTTGGGGATGAAAAGCCTCCATGTGACCGGGCCTGTGATGTGTGTTGTCATCCCAAAAAAGTGCAGATGGACCTGCTGAACATGCAGAAGGGATTGTTTAACACAAAGATGAAGTCAGGACTTCGAGGGACAATGATGGTAGTAGATGATGAGGATGATGGCGATATGTATGGAGGAGGCCGGAGGGGAGCCAAAAGGTAAGTTGATAGATACAAATCTGACAGTAAAAGGTGTAACGAACGAACGAACAAACAAACTTTATTTTCAAAGGGTCACAAATTGGGCACGCAGGCCTGTCTTACATTTGCCCCTTCCAAACACCCGTCTTTCACACTGCAGCTGTATTTTATCTATACGCATGTTATATTCATATGATATTAAAGTGTAGTAGTTTTCAGGTGTATAAATGTGAGGAATCAGGGTTCAGCTCTTTAAGGTTTATCATGAAAGCCATGCAAGAAACGTTTGGCAGCGATAGGAGAGGTGATACTTTTGCTCACTTCTGTATTTGCCCTTACAAGAGCAGTTGATACCTTGTATTCTTCTGCAGTTGGTACCTTGTACTGTGGTTTACAGCTTCTTTTTCTTCTTCTTCTTTTTAAAGTCCATGCCATGTGGCGTTGATAGTCATGTCTGTCCACAACCTTCTGTCCCTTGTACTTTCAATCAACTCTGACACAGATGATCTTCAATGCCATGATATCAAAACTTTCCAGCGTCTGTTTTCTCGGTCTCCCTCTGCCTCTCCTCCCCTCCAACTTTCCTGTTGTCACGATTTACTCCAGTTTTCTCCTTCTCATCACACGACAAAGAAAGTAGATTGTCTCTTTCTGAGGTTTACAGCTAGGCTGCAATATCTGTACATTATGGCCGAAAGAGGAAAGACAGAAGGAGACAGTCATCATTTTTCGGCATGTTATAAGAAGAGGGAAAATGGAACATGTTGTGACCACTGGAAAAATCTGTGGAAGGAGGAATAGAGGAAGACAACGAGAGAAGATTCTTGACAGTCTTGTTGCATGGCATGGAGTTGTATCAGCACATGAACTGATACGTGCTGCAGAAGATCGTGGATTGTGGAGAGGCATGATCACCCACGCCAGTCAGAGCAAGGCACCTGATGATAATGATATGGCCGAAAAACAGCTGAATTAAACATACCCCCTTATTAGTCTCCTTGTATGACATGCTTGTAGGTTGAGCAGTGGGTCGGTTCTGCCCCCCCCCCCCTTCCCCACCAGCGCCCCAGTGGGGCCCTGGAACCTAGTGATAACTAGATAACTAGTAAACGATGCAAAAAGAGGAAGAGGACATTAAAAAAGATACCTGCTTAGATGGCTTAACCATATGGCATTTTCTTGCCTCACTGTGACTGATATCTTTTTATTAATGATTAAACCATAGATTTTAAACCAGGGTTCGGGAAACTACGGATTGTGGAACGAGCACTGGCCCGCCGATCAGTTGTTACTGGCCAGTGAGGCTGGTGTAAAATTACTATGTATTTTGTTGATTTCGAACCCCCCCCCCCCCCCCCCCCCCTCCGCATACACACACACACAACACTTTCCCTCAGTAATATTGATTTCTGCAAATAACCAGCTTGAATGGCACCTTTAGGGATATGTAGAAGAGCTTCAGTGAGTGAGTGTGTCTGGCCGGAGGTGTAACAAGGGATTATAATCTTAGATTATCCCACAAAATTATTGTGTTACTAGGAAATGATGCGACACTGTGAGCTTTGAATATCATTTGGAATGCTTATTAAGTGTGCCTAACTTGGTTTGTGATGTGAACTGTTTATTCAGAAAATGGCGAGTAGCCTGTTGCCACAGAACTTGTGGTGCCTTGTGTGATTATTTATGTGTGCAACTACTGATGTGTTGTAACTACTGTTTACATCAATGAGGAACTGTGTTCCTAGTGTCAGACTGTTTATGTTGGCACCTCTGACTGCTTCCTCGTGCATTTAATTCGTTTGTATGCTGTTGGATTTGTGGAGTCTGCAGTCTGTGTGAATTTTGTCAACAAGGGACAGTGATGGACATTCTGTTTAGTTTTGATTGGTACAGGAATAGAGCAACTGTGGGGTGACTTGTTTGCTGTGAAGTTTGAATTGCGATTACCTGATCATGTTTTCCATCTTGCAGAGGGTTTATAGCCATCTTGAAGTGGAAAATTCTTCCTTTTTTTAGTGAATTCTAACATGTGCACTTCGTTCATAGGGAGACAGATGACTATGATCTAGGTGGTGCTGGTGGCGGTGGTGGGGGTAGCAGCGATGAGGGTGAATATCACAAAGAGAGGCAGGAGGCCACCAGAGAGAAGAAGGAAAGATCTAGTCTCATCATGAATGAATTCAAGAAACGGAAAGGGGCTCAGGTAAGCATGATTAGTGTGTTTCTTGACTTTCCTCTCTCCTCGCCACTTCAGTAATTGCATGCCTGTGGATCTGAAGGTTGGGAGTTCATATCCAAATAGAACCGAACCCATCCCTTCCCCAGGTCAACTCAGTCTTAAATGGGTAACAGATAATGTCCTGAGAAGTAAAGGTGACTGATTTGTTGTTGACATCACCCACCAAGTGACATGGTCTTTAAATATAGAAAGTCAAAAGAAATATAGAAAAAAAAAGACTGCATACAATATATTTCATTTTGTAAAACCACTCGTCAGCCATTGCCCGTCATATTTTGAATTCTAGGAGCATTAAGGACGATGTATTTTGAATTCTTTAAACCTCAGCAAACTGCAGATTATTGCAGTTTATGGAAGCAACAGCTATAAACCAGCTAAGTCCAGAGTTATGCCGACAACAGGACATGGTTGTCACCTTGCGTTTACCCTGGTGAAATAAGTTACTTTTGGATGTAGTTGATTTTGTGTTTCATTTGGAAGGATTAATTTATTTGCTTTATTTTAATCAATTGTTACTGTAGTATGCACCTGATGAGATACAGCAAAGTATACCAGGAAATAAATAGCGCAGTCTATTGTTTGTGATGTCTTTGTTCAAATTCACAATGGGGAAACACTATAGAATATAGGTCTAGCACTGTATGCCTGATACACATGAAGGGGTGTATCCTTTACTTTACTTTAATAATGCCTGATAACACTTCTTGGAAGACTACAAGACGACATGATTACATTAGAAATACGTTTATAATTTAAATACATCACACATAAAATATGATTGCACTTTAAACACAGTTACACGTGATTACAATTTTAACAGTGACACATAAAATACGATTACTCTTTAAACACAGTCACATATACAATGCGATTACTCTTTAAACACAGTCACATATACAGTGCGATTACTCTTTAAACACAGTCACACATACAATGCGATTACTCTTTAAACACAGTCACACATACAATGCGATTACTCTTTAAACACAGTCACACATACAATGTGATTACTCTTTAAACACAGTCACACATACAATGTGATTACTCTTTAAACACAGTCACACATACAATGCGATTACTCTTTAAACACAGTCACACATACAATGTGATTACTCTTTAAACACAGTCACATATACAATGCGATTACTCTTTAAACACAGTCACACATACAATGCGATTACTCTTTAAACACAGTCACATATACAATGCGATTACTCTTTAAACACAGTCACATATACAATGCGATTACTCTTTAAACACAGTCACATATACAATGCGATTACTCTTTAAACACAGTCACATATACAGTGCGATTACTCTTTAAACACAGTCACACATACAATGCGATTACTCTTTAAACACAGTCACACATACAATGCGATTACTCTTTAAACACAGTCACACATACAATGTGATTACTCTTTAAACACAGTCACACATACAATGTGATTACTCTTTAAACACAGTCACACATACAATGCGATTACTCTTTAAACACAGTCACACATACAATGTGATTACTCTTTAAACACAGTCACACATACAATGTGATTACTCTTTAAACACAGTCACACATACAATGCGATTACTCTTTAAACACAGTCACACATACAATGTGATTACTCTTTAAACACAGTCACATATACAATGCGATTACTCTTTAAACACAGTCACACATACAATGCGATTACTCTTTAAACACAGTCACATATACAATGCGATTACTCTTTAAACACAGTCACATATACAATGCGATTACTCTTTAAACACAGTCACATATACAATGCGATTACTCTTTAAACACAGTCACATATACAATGCGATTACTCTTTAAACACAGTCACACATACAATGCGATTACTCTTTAAACACAGTCACATATACAGTGCGATTACTCTTTAAACACAGTCACACATACAATGCGATTACTCTTTAAACACAGTCACATATACAATGCGATTACTCTTTAAACACAGTCACATATACAATGCGATTACTCTTTAAACACAGTCACATATACAATGCGATTACTCTTTAAACACAGTCACACATACAATGCGATTACTCTTTAAACACAGTCACATATACAGTGCGATTACTCTTTAAACACAGTCACACATACAATGCGATTACTCTTTAAACACAGTCACATATACAATGCGATTACTCTTTAAACACAGTCACACATACAATGCGATTACTCTTTAAACACAGTCACACATACAATGCGATTACTCATTAAACACAGTCACACATAAACCATGATAAGAATTTTAACCCTGTCTCCCAGAGAAAGCCTGCACAGATGCGTCTGTTGCAATCTCAATAGTACGACTAGATCAGACTTGATCAACAGTTTTAGAGCACCCTTGAGAGAACCTTTTTTACCCAACTATGCACCGCTTTACGGGATAAACATTTGTTAGTATGAACAGGAAGCAATTACTTATGAATGTCCACTGCTTTCAGCTCTTTGGCCAAATAAACACTCACAACAGCCTGTTGTTCATTGAGGGTACTTTCCATAAGTACAGTCGCCATTTTGTTTCTGTGCTACGAATGCGCATGCATCAACTAGCACCACCTAATGAACGGAGACATAAAGTTTGATGTTGCTGACACCTAATGACACCTTAAAAAACCACCAACTACATTTTCCTGCCATCCCATAACTAATTGTAACTTACTTATTGACTTCCCTTCATATTTTAGCGCACTGTTTTTCTAGAGGGTTTTCTCTAGCTGAATTCTTGCTATTTCAGAAACCTACGGCCAACAAGGAGGAAGATGAAGTGGAGCAGCCATCTCCTTTCTGTCCTTTAAGAGATGCAAGCAGTCAGAGAATACCCAAACTGGCAATTAAAGTAAAGTAGCGATCCTCCTCCCCTCCCCCTTCTTTCTCAACCTTTTTACAACACAAGACGATCCCAATCAGCACCCCCCCCACCCCACCCCTCCCCCAAATCTCATACACAGTATTTTCATGCCGATCCTGGGCTACCGGTGCTAGACATGGCTACTCACAACAAACCAGGAAAGGAAATTAGTAACTATGGAAATGAGATGTCTGTGAATCTGAGAAGGGCTGCAGGAGTAACCAGGATGAGATAAAATCAGGAATGAGATCATAAGAGAAGAAGTTGGCACAGAACCAGTTCTAAATTACATACAAAGAAAACAAAACAAATTTTTTGCCCACTTGGAGAAAATACCTTGTTATGCCACACCATAGAAGGCATACACCAAACGAGGAGAGCACAAGGTAGACCAAGAACAGTATGGAAAGATAATGTCAGGGAAACTCGACAACAGCATAACGTGTCTATGGTTGAGGCTTCCAGAAAGGCATGAAGCAGAACCTTATATCTCCCTCGACACCCGAGGCTGTAAAAGAGGAAGTGGTGCTTTCTTAATATCCTAACCCAAACAGGGGAAATCCACAGGTCATGGGACAGTCAAATATTTCAGGGGGTGGTAGATAGGCTGCATGCAGTCGTGGGACCTAGGCTGCACACTCTCGTGGGACATAGGTGGGTTGGGGTTAGCGCCAGTTCTAGATGTTTTAGGGTTGTTAAAAGCATCAGAAAGCTGAGAAACCCAGTCGTACTACTCTCTAACATGTTGGACTGTCCTGTGACGTCATCTGGGGGTAGGATATTACAAAAGAACCGAAGAAGCTCTTTTTCAAATGTTATAAACTTTTGTTTTTATTTGAAATATGAGACACTTTAGTGATCACAAAATTAAACATCACTGCTTTTTGAGATAGTAAAAACAAATATATATAGACTTAGCTAAGTACAAGACAAGAAGGTATTCATAATGACAAAAGTCTACTAGATAACACTAAGTAAGAAAAAGAAAAAATGTGTTTTATGATGAAAAGTGGGATTTTATAGATTTCACCCCATCACTGATCATAAAGCAGATTACAGAATGCTTCTCCTTTTAGTTGCATGTCTGAAGTGGGGCAGCCATCTTTAAACTGTCATGTGACATCACTGTATTCGTCTGCACGATATCTGTTGCTTAACTCTCCTAACATTGTTAACAATAAAATTTGCAGGTTACAAAATTATGTCATGATTATTGTAAATTCTGCCACACTTTTATGGTTTGAATTTGAAGCCCCCTGTTAACTTTTGGTTATTTTTGTTGTCTTTATTTCCTTTTGATACAAATTTTCCTCACATCTTTTATGATTGTGAGTAAACATTATTTATGATTAAATCCATCTGTCTATCTGATGCATATTTTCCTCACATCTTTTTTGATTGTAAGTAAACGTTATTTAAATTTAAATCCATCAGTCTATCCTCTTCTTGTCTTCATTGACAGACAAGATATTCACAAGTGGTCTCCATTCTTGCCGGTGCTTTTCTGCCCATGGTGTTCCATGTCCTTTTTACACATCCGTCATTTCCCTTTCTGCTGCCCTCCTCCAGGTTTACTTAGGTCATCCATGGCTCCTTTTCCCACCTGCCATCCATGGGAAAAGGAGCCAAAGTGTCACTCGTCATTCTGCAAACATGTCCAAGCCATCTCTATCCTCTTCCTGTAATAATGTTAGCCTGCGGTAGACATTTTTTCCTCTTCAGTTCTTCATTGATGATCTTGTTTGGCCAAAATATTCGCAAGCTTCTCCGGAGACATTAATTTTGAAAAGTCTCTAGCTTATGTGTAATACCCGCTGTCATTTTTCAACCCTATAAAAGATTTCCCTTTTTTGTTTTTTTTGGTCTTCAAAATGTTTTTTTTTTACTTCCAAATTTTGTTAAACATGGCAAATGCTTGGTTTGCTTTGTTTATTCGGGATGCTACACCCTTCTCAGAATCCCCATCTTGAGTTATTTTACTTCTGAGTAGACTTCTTCAATTGATTTATTTTTTACAACCTGTGGAAACTCCTGGAAATAATTCTGCAAAATTTTTATTTTCTCAACAAGTTACTAATAAAATGTCAAGAAAAATTATTTACCTACATTTGTAAAAAAAAAAAATTCCTTCAAAATATACAAAGGCATATACAGGAGCTAGTCAATAAACATGAACAGAGTCAAACATTAAATGGAAAACATTCCTGGAGCCTAAAAAACAGTATATATCGGGTGACTCATACCTTGGCACTATGACCTCTATTACTGAGGCTTACAGGAAAATTTGACATCAACTTGGCTTTTAAAAAAGCCATTGAGGTCATAATGAAACCCCTCTGAATGCTATATTAAGTTAATATATTTACATCCAAGCCTCCTAGACACTTCACAATGGCATTGTCACAGCTGGAACTAAGTGAATTTGCTGTTTTCTTATTTCTCATTGCTTTATTTTTACTGATATTTATCTTGATTCTGTTATTAAAGGCATTTATTATTATTTTATAATACACCTAAAATACGTTCTTTTACCTAATGCAGTCATGATACTAGATCTGTAAATTGTTCCCCAGACGAGAGAGCACTGCCTTGAGATGATTGAAAAGTCACTTTATGAGAACTTTGTAGCAGCCTTCGCAGAAGACAGCCGGCGAATCGCAGGTAGAGATTATGAACCTCGTACATGTGCCATCAACATGGAGTACCACACCTTCACATCCAACAAATTGGCACCCATGTATAAATCCAGCATCATGAAAATAGTATCTGAAATTCGAAAGCTCTCCCACAGCAAATCTGCACATTCGTGTTTCCGTAAGACTGATGAGTCAACTGACATTGCCAGGAGTGCTAATCCTGAGGATGTGACACAGCATCAGAAATCCAATGCTGCGGTAACAAACTTTAGCGGTTTTCAGAGAGCCAGCCAGCTCGTCACGCCGCAGACAGGATCTGTTGCCAGTTCTGTTGATGATGTCTCAGAAGCACCCTCAACTTCATCACCTCATCGTACAAAACCAGATGATGCGACCTCATCTGCTGCATCCTCTGGTTTCCAGACAGCTAACACGCTATTGAAGCTTCGTCAGAAGAGTTCAAATCAGGACAGTGTTTCATTGAAACCTTCGAGTATTAAAGACAGCATGCATAATTCTGAACATTCTTCAAAGTCAAAGCATATGAATTCAACAGGAGGAGGCTATGTCTCTTTAACTGTTAAGGTGGATGGTGGCAGTAATAAGAAGAATTCAAGCAAAAATTCAGCCGAGAACCTCAATATGAAATGTTCTTCAAAGGATGTAACTCTTGCTGATAAAAAATCGGAGAAACAGAGTTGTTCTCTGCTAATTGACTTAACTAATGAAGATGATGAGGATTTAGTTGTGGACCTAACTGATGACAGCTGTGATATTAAACCTTATCCAAACAGGTCACCCAGAAGAAGTGGCCCTAGTGAGGCATCAACCGGCCAGAAAGCTAAATCAACAATAAAATATTTTTTTGAGCAGCAGGAAAGTAAATCCAGGACTGGAGAGCAGCAGACGTCCAGCAAGATAACAGCTGCTTCAAGTGGCTCAGTAAAAGAGAAAGCAGCAAAACTGGAGGCAACGCAAGTCCTTAAGGCTTCAGCTCAGGAGCAGAGTAAAGTAAACAATGGACTAACTGGCATCAAGGCAAATGTGGCTGTAGAGCAAAGTCAGAAAGTTCAGCCAGACACCATGAAGCGGAAAATATCGCAAGAGGTAACTGAATTGTCATTTACTTGTGAGACTCATAGTTTAAAATATGTGAATATGGCTGGTATGAGATGTCTACAGTCATTCTGAAAAAAAATGGTTGGGATGAGTTTGTAAAAAAAAGACTGTGGCAATTTATCAGTGTAAGATGTTCAACAATTTTTTAATGTGTTTAGTGTGAAATATTTAAGTCGTGACCGTTGAATCTTGTAATATTACCAATGACATTGTAAGCTTTTGCAAAACTGCTCTTGTCTTTCATTTAAATTTCTCATTTTCATATGACTTCAGTGTTCTGCTGTATGGCTTTAATGTTCACCACAGTTTCAGTAAGAAAATTGCTTTTCTCACATTTTCCACAACTTGTTTATATGTAACCTATTTGTAAGCTAAGTTGGTTAAACCAGCTGCGTGGCGACTGGTAACAAACCCCTGGTGGTCCGAGTTCGCGCTCGGGGGTAGGCAGAAAAGCCACCTATTTCCCAGATTTACGGTATCTATCATGGAATAAAGGCCGAAGGGTTGCAATATCTATAGTACCGATACAAAGGGTTTACAATTCGTGGTTTCTGGATTTAAAAAAATATGTAACCTCCCCTTAGTTTTTGTTGTTGTGTTTAGTTTTCCCCCTTGGATTGTAGTCTGTATGTAGGATTAACATCTCAAGGGTGAGAGTCAAACAAGTACATTTCTGGAAAATTCTTTGTACCTTATAGCCGTATAGCACAGTTTACACTATGGCACCACAAAATAGTTACGAAATAACTTGAGGTCCAGAGTGGGTGAGTCTTGATGTAGGAAACCTACGTCCTCCCCTCAGTTGTCCTTGCCTTTCCTTGTTTTGTGAAAAAATTAGAATCGTCATGCACAGCCAGCATCCCTGAAGAGGGATCTTTTGCTTATAATTGTGACTAGGCCATTTGCAACATATAAAATGGTTTCACACTGCTTGTCACCAAACATCACTGAAGAGGGATCTTTTGCTTATAATTGTGACTAGACCATTTGCAACATATTAAATGGTTTCACACTGCTTGTCACCAAATAGCCCTGAAAAGGATTCTTGCAGTGTTGATGTGATCACAGGAGACAGGCCCAAATACTGTCCCACAGACCCAGATATTGTCCCAGAGACCTAAATACTGTCCCACAGACCCAGATATTGTCCCAGAGACCCAAATACTGTCCCACAGACCCTGATATTGTCCCAGAGACCCAAATACTGTCCCACAGACCCTGATATTGTCCCAGAGACCCAAATACTGTCCCACAGACCCTGATATTGTCCCAGAGACCAAAATACTGTCCCACAGACCCTGATATTGTCCCAGAGACCCAAATACTGTCCCACAGACCCAGATATTGTCACAGAGACCCAAATACTGTCCCACAGACCCAGATATTGTCCCAGAGACCTAAATACTGTCCCACAGATCCAGATATTGTCCCAGAGACCCAAATACTGCCCCACAGACCCAGATATTGTCCCAGAGACCCAAATACTGTCCCACAGACGCTGATATTGTCCCAGAGACCCTGATATTGTCCCAGAGACCCAAATACTGTCCCACAGACCCAGATATTGTCCCAGAGACCCAAATACTGTCCCGACCAATGACGAAGTCATTTGCTTTCCAACGTGTGCCCTGTCCAGCGCCAAAGTCCTTTCGTCACCTCTTGGTCCACTGGAACTATCAACTAACAAACAGGCAGACAAACACTTTACCCCTTTCTTTTTTTGTTCAATGTTCTACTTTCATTAGCTTTTTCTATTTGTTTTTTGGTACTCTGACAGTGCAAGGTATTAATAATTTTTGTCTCACAAACAGCTTCTCCACTGCCTCCTAGCACTTTTGGATTTTATCCTTCACATTACAGGATTAACTACCGTAAATCGCAGAGAACAATAAAACAGTGTGCTAATAACTGCCATTGTAAGGGCAGACATAGAAGAGAAAGAAGAAACTACAAAAATATTCCATTAGTCATCATAATTCCACTTCAGCATTAGTAGATGCTCTGGCTTCTGTGAAAATAACATTTGTTATTATGATATAGCACTTGTTATCATAGTATAGTACTTGTTATCATGATATAGCATTTGTTATCATTATATAACACTTGATATTATGATATAGCACTTCTTTTCATGATAGAGCACTTATCATTATCTAACCTTTGTTATCATGATACAGAATTTGTTATCATTGTATAACACTTGTTATCATGATATAACATTTGTTATCATGATATAGCACTTGTTATCATGCTATAGTACTTGTTATCATGATATAGCATTTGTTATTATATAACACTTGATATTATGATATAGCACTTGTTTTCATGATATAGCACTTATAATTATATAACACTTGTTATCATGATATAGCATTTGTTATCATTATATAATACTTGTTATTACAATATAGCACTTGTTTTCATGATACAGCACTTATAATTATATAATACTTGTTATTATAATATAGCATTTGTGGCGCGGTGATTTCGGTCACAGGCATGAGGCAAAGTTAAGTCTGATGTGAGGTGTATAAGGAGATACTCCGTACCCCACTCGGGCGCCAGTCCTTCACTGTTCTGGTTTTACGGAACCTCATGCAAGACTACTGTTGCACGTCCCCGTCGTGCGCCACGGATAATGTCTCAAATGAACATTAACAGAGTTGGCAGGGGATCTCGGAGCTGGCGGCCCCCAGAGGTGTAGTGTCCTTTCTGGCTCTCACCAGCCCGCCCCCAAACGCATGGGTGAAAAGTCTAACAAAACTCAAAATTGCTTGCTAAATGTACCATCAAATGACAACTCTCGGTTAAAATTCGGCAGGGAATTTAAAACTGTGCTGCTGAGACTCAACCCTGACCGAGAGATTTACCCGCAGCCAAGACGAGTAACATCTCTTGTGGGCGACTTCTCGCAGCAAGATCCTACCTACGTACATCCTCTGTCAATCCTCAGTGTCGTCGTCACCGCGCTGAGGTACACCACAGCAGCAACTTTTCATATGCTGGTTTGGAAATAATGTCAAAGTTATACCCCACGGCACACATGCAAGCTCAGAGTCCGACGATCATAATTCGTACCGATTAGGGAAAAGTCCGAAAGTCCGTATCCACTGGTCCAACTCGCCCGAGTGTTGGGACCAAACAGGTGAAGCCACGCCTGACGCATTTTGCTTCCCAATTTTGTCATGCTAAGGGCACAGCTGAAAAAACGTTAAAGGTGTCTAACGTAAGATGAAAAAGAATGTACCTATTTGTGTGGCCACAAACGTCCTAGACCTGCGGGCTGCTCCCCGCTGATCTCCGGAGAGCGCAGCCTTGTAGCGCGGGAAGCTCAATACACGGTTGTGAGGTTAAGCAGTCATGGGCAGGACGTGACGATTCCTTGGGTGAGCCCAGAACCAGAGCATCATGTGTAGGCTCTGCATTTATGGAAGCCTCCTTGGATGGCGGGGAATGCCTATGATCTGCCCCTGCCTTCCCTTGAGGGCTGTAAACTCTACATAGAGCTGCCTTAAGGACGACATGCCGGGGGCCACACCTGTTACAAGTCAAAGAGGACACCACACAAATGAGGCAACATCACGACCCACACAAAACAATGGCCACAGTCAACCTAGAAATAGGCTTGACGTCTTCCTCCGAAGTCGGAGTACATCTGCCGGAGAGGCGGGGAACGAGTACTGCAAACAAATAAGCCAGTAAAACGGATGTACATGCAAAACTCAGGTCAAGGTAAAAGCCAAAAGTCCATTTTGGACGAACAACCGCGACTTACCGCCGGAATTCACAGCCGGTGAAGAAGAAGAAGAAGAAGAATAACATAGCATTTGTTATCATTATATAACACTTGTTATTATGATATAGCACTTGCTATCATGATATAACACTTGTTGTTAAAACGCTTGTTATCATGATAAAGCACTTGTTATGAACTTTTTTGTTATTATTTTTGTGGATTCTGTGGCCCCAGTGTGAGGGGAAGGGAGAGGGGAAGCAGAGGGGATAGACCACTGCTTGCCTAATAATCATGTTGTTAAGAGGTGACTAATTATAGACGTTTCCTATGGAGTCAGAGTGCGTCTGCCTGAGAGGTTGGGAACCAATAGTCTGCATAAAAATAGGCCAGATCTTTAAAAGAAAGGTGCACGCAAAACTCAAGCTCTAAAACAAGACCCCAAAGTCCAGAAGGGAGCAAACAGCTAGAACTTTCTTCTGGAGTTTCAAGCAGGTGAACACTAAGAAGTTTAAAGTTTGTTCCATTAAAAAAAAAGACTTTAATCCACATAGTTCCTCATTTTTAAAACACCATGTGCTCACCGAATGCTGCTTGTATTTCTTTCAGAGACTGGACATGCTGCACACGCTAGACTCCTACCTCCCCAAGAAACCCAGACATGGCAGTGACAGTGGCATCAGCAGTGACAACAGTTGTGTCAGTGCATCCAGCACTGGTAAACAGGGCAGCAACATGTCTTCCAGTTGGGATGTTGAGACTGAGGTAATTACCTTATTGTTGCTGGTCTTTCCATTGTATGGGTTGCGTGGCCCCATTATGCTGAGAACAAGAATAGACCCTTGCCTCTCCAACAAGCATGTCGTAAGAGTCTACTAATTGGAGGCTTCCTGTGAAGTAGGAGTGCATCGGCCTGAGGGGCAATGAACTGACAGTCTGCGTACACATAAGTCAGATCTGTAAAACAGATGTACACAAAACACTCAGGTTTTGCAACAGGACTAAAGTCCAGGGGATGGACGAATAACCAAGGCTTTCTGCTGGAGTTTACAGCTGGTGAATGCAAAGAAGAAGAAATAAGAAGCAGCAGCTGGCCTTACTTGTGCCAGTTTTCTGTTTGGGTATTTCATGATCTTCTTCTTCTTGCAGGTCATTTAACAACAGTCGCCATATGGATTCCAGGGCCCCATTTTGCTGAAAACAACAATAGATCCGCTGCCTACCTGACAAGCCCTTTTCTGTGCAGTGTTTAATACTCTTAGTTGACAAGATAATGTCCCTTTTTTGTTGTATATGTGACCAGCCAGGTCAGATTTGTGCTGCCCCACCACGCGAGCGGGCCTAGCAAGCCAGCATTGGTGTATGCTACTAAAGAAACATTGAATTATTATGGGACAGACAGCGAAAACTGAGGTAATGAGGATAGGCAGGAAACATAAAATCATAAGCGTTCATGTTAACGGTACTACAATCAAACAAGTGCGAGAATTTAAATATCTAGGAAGCATATTTATAGAGGATGTCACACTTGATAGAGAGAATGAAACCAGAGTACAGAAGGCACATGCTGTCACCTACCAGATAGCTCCAAGCTTAGACACCCAAATGTCTCCCTTCTAGCAAAACAGCAAATGATTAATAACATCTTTATCCCTACTTTATCCCTACTCAGTGCCAAACATGGACAATGAATAAGGCATTAGAACAGACAGTAACTGCATGTGACCGCAGGGTCACTAACAACACTAGACGAGACAGCATTAAAGAGAAAGTTGGAATAAAACTATGTCTGGATTATATTGACAGGCAAAGATTGAAATGGTTCAGTCATCTAGTGAGAATGCAGCCAGACCAGACTGCATATGAGAACTTTCTGCAGTAGAACATCTAAGAGGAAGGTGAGAGGAAGACCCAGAAAGAGTTCAATGAATGGTGTAACTGAAACCTGCAAAAAGATGAACAAATCCATCACTCGTGACCAGGAAGAGCAAGACAAATACAGAAAACCACGACACTGGGCTACAACCTGGTATCAGTGAGACAACAAAACCACAACACTTGGCTACAACCTGGTATCAGTGAGACAACAAAACCACGACACTAGGCTACAACCTGGTATCAGTGAGACAACAAAACCACAACACTTGGCTACAACCTGGTATCAGTGAGACAACAAAAGAAGAAGAAGAAGCTGCAAGATAACTTCATCTTGATTGAGGGTTAAAAAAGGAAATGAAGTAAAGGAGGAGGAAAAATGGAAAAGGAGAAAAAAAAAAAAAAAGGGAAAGGACATCAGTGTCCTCTTCTTATTCAGCCTTAGGAGACCTTGCATTCATGCAGAAATCGTCAGCGGTACATTCATCTGAGTAATAGGCTTTCTCTTTCCAGTTGGTGACTCTAAGTATTTGAAACTCTGCCTGAATATTACCTCTCCACATTCTTATTGGGGTCTACTCCCATTCAACTCTCTTGTGTACACAGTTTTTTTTCCCTGTCGTCTGCCATTCTTTCTATATTCTGCAGCCATTTTATACCCGGGGCATAGATATGGCCTAGCCATAGGTATGGCCTAATGGCTAAAAAGGGTTTCTGGGACCTCTCCACGGGGGATCCTCATCTGCATGGTGGCACTTTGTGTCACCGGGTGTTTATCGCTTGTGTGGTGTTCTGATGGGGTACAACTACCAACCAACCAGCCTTCAGAACATGTTGAATGTGGGATTAAGATTCAACATCACAGCACTCGGACCCCCCCCCCCCCCATAAGCACTCCATCTCCATCTTCAGCAGCAAGCCTTCAGAGCACAAGTGTAACAGTTGTAATTTTATTTTTTCCCCCATAGAAAGCTGCACCAAGCTTTGATAAGGACGATGTTAGAATGAGAGAGAATCAGGAGATGAAACATATTGCAGGCACTGTGGTGAAATACCTGACACCATATTACAAAGCTGGATACTTCACTAGCAAGGTAAGTTTAGAAATGTCATCCAACACAAGATTTTTTTTGGGTCAGTTCTGTACATGAATGAATAAATCAAGAACTGACATCACAGGACATGGGACATTCCCACACCTGCTCCATTTTCTTCCTCTTTAGCCAGTTAAAGAAGTTTGAGGTTTGAACAACGGATCAACATGATGGCACATGGGTAGCAACCCATAAGTGCTCCGTTCTTCTAACTCAAGTCCCGAAGAAGCTCAGCGCAGTGCACAGACTCTGTAGCACTGGCGAGGATCCTGAAAATACTTTGGGTAGATTTTAAACTCTAAATTTTGCCCAGGCAGCGCCATTAGGCTACTCTTTTCAATTTCCAACTGCCAAGGGATTGTTTACGTACACAACAATGCACACGGGTGTCTGATCTCACTACCTAGAGACCAGGGGGAATTATTAGAAGTCCAAATCCACGTGAAAAAATCCGAGCCCTTACCGTGGATTGAACCCGGAACCTTCAGCACTCGAGGTGGACACCATGCCTTGAGACCACGCAGCCTCCCTAAAAAGTTTCCATATTATAGAACCTGATGTAACCGGATTACAAGTTCACCTATTTTGTTCTCCCATGCATTAAATCTCATCAAGAATCTCTACCCTCCCCCTCCCCAACTGAATCAGTTTTTCCAAGGTATGGATACTTTGTCTGCATTGTCCACTTGATTCCAGAAAGCCTTCACAAAATCCACTTTATCATAAACTAGCTCACTACCCAGAGGAGCGACATCAGCCAATCTATCAGCCTGCTCATTACTCCCCAAATGTGCACGACAGACACTACATGTAAGCCACTCTCTACCTGTAAAACAGCAGTTTCAGTTTTCTGGAACATATTCCGTGAGTCCTTTACAATAACAACATGAGGTTCTGAGGTTTTGAATAATAGATCAACATCATGGCACGTGGGCAGTCACCCATAAGTGCTCCATTCTTCTTCTAACTCAAGTCTGAGTCCGAAGAAGCTCAGCACAGTGCACAGGCTCTGTACCACCGGCAAGGATCCTGAAATACTTTGGGTAGATTTTTAGCTCCAAATTTTGCCCGGGCAGCGCCGTTAAGCTACTCTATTCGATTTCCAACTGCCGAGGCATAAGACAATCCCAATCAGCACAAAAAGACATCTTATTCAAAGCATATTTATTCCAACTCTGTGCTACCAGTGCCAGACATGGTCATTCACAACAAACCATAAAAAAAAATTAGTAACCACGGAAATGTGATGTCTGAGAAGGGCTGTAGGAGTGACCATAAGAGATAAGATCAGGAATGAGATCATAAGAGAACAAGTCGGCACAGAACCAATTCTGGATTACATACAAAGACAGCAAGTGAAATGGTTTGCCCACTTAGAGAGAATGCCTTGTGACACCATACCATACAAAGCATACATGGAAAGAGAAGAAGGACGTAGAGCACAGGGTAGACCAAGAACAAGATGGAAGGATAACATCAGAGAAACTCTACAACAGCACGATGTGCCTATGGTGGAGGCAGCCAGAAGAGCTAGAAACAGAACCTTATATCTCCCTCGACACCCACAGCGGTAAAAGAGGAAGTGAAGAAGAAGAAGAAGAAGGGATTTTTTAGTGCGCAACAGTGCACACCGGCGTCCGATCTCACTACCCAGAGACTAAGGGGAATAACTAGAAGTCCAAGCCCACGTGACAAAATCCCAGCCCTTACCCGGGATTGAACCTGGAACATCTAGCACTCGAGGCGGACACCATGACTCGAGGCAATGCAGCCCCCCCCCCACACAATAACAGCATGTCAGGCTGTAATGAAATATGATCTGATCTAAAAAGTTTGTCATGTTAGCTAGATAGGCAAGTCAGGCTGAAAACTTGTAATGAAGTTTCTCAGTTTGCAAAATCACTTTTATGTGCAGATATGATCAGATGGTCTCTGTAGATGGCTTAACCCTTTCACCTAGAGAAGGCATAAACTACTGACTTCTGGTTGTGAAAGAACCCTGTAAATGCTGATCTATTGCCATGTCTGCAGTGACTTGTTCTTGAAAAGCATGGTTAAACTTCATTGGTTCTGTGTGCAGGAGGCCCAGAAGCGAATATATGTAGCATTTAGAGGGGTTTCTTTATAAATCCAGTATCTTCTTTAAAGCCAGGTTGACTTTAAATGTTCCCGTAAGCCTCAGTGATAAAGGTCACAGGCTCATGGCATGAGTCACATGATACATATTTGTTTAAGGCCCCACAGAATGCATTCCATTTACTGGTTCACTGTGTTCTTTTTTTTTTTTTTTAATTTTCTCATTTATATATATCTACAAATTTTAAAACAAAAATTTAACCTGTGTAAAATATTTTTTTGTTTTTTTGTTTTCTTTCCTCTGCCCCCCTCCCCTCCCAGGAAATTCCTACTGGTTCATGACCCATTTTTGAGGGTAGAATTTGCTAGGCTGAAGGGTTAAGGGTTGTGAATGCAGTTTCACAGTCCTCACATATTGTGGTTCCAAGCAGGCACTTTATAGCAGACCACTGTGCATTGATTCTGGCAGTGGTTTGCTAGACAATTCAGAAAGTAATGGCAAACTACTGGGTAGAAATTCGCCTAGTGAAACAACAGAGTTTGTTGCCTATCATTTTTTTTTTGGAAACAGGATGTTGCAGAGCCAACCCCACATTTTTGTTTGTGGCTGTTTGTGATTTCACTAGGCTGTCTTATGCTCAGTAGTTTTGCTGGATTGGTGCTGGGGGGGGGGGGTGGGTCAACTTTTTCCACATCCCAGTGTAGGTTTCAGGGTCCCATTGTGGGGAAACAACAAGCATAGATCCACTGCCTCCATAACAAGCAGGTCCTAAGAGTTGACTAGTTAAGGAGTTTTCTTTGAAGTCGGAGTGCATCTGCCGGAAAGGTAAGGAACCAGCAGTCTGCATACAAAAAAGCCAGATGTGCACACAAAATTCAAGTTCTGGAACAAGATTGAAGTCCAGAAGAGGATGAAAAGCCAGAACTTTTCCGCAGAGTTTACACCTGGTGAACATGAAAAGCAAGAAGAGAATCCAACGCAAGTGGTGTGCTTCTTAATCACCTACAGCTGGGATCGAACCTGCCACATCAGGATTATGAAGATTGTTCCAATAGCTGAAAATGCAAATGATCTGCAACAATTTTTGACATTGTAGTCAGGGAGAGTACAAAAAGGGTATGTCCTTGATAATAATTAAAATGGCAGTAATGATTATATCAAAGAAAAGAATGCTACCACAGTGTGATATTAGAATAGAAGGTAAAACGTTAATCCAAGTCGACAAATTCAAATATCTAGGAACAGTCATAACATCAGACGGAAGATGTCTGTCAAAAAATTAAGAGAAGAATATGCCAGGCTAAGACTACATTTCATAGAAAGAAGAACATCTCATGCATCAGGTCCCTCTCTCTCTCTTTGGATGTCTGAAAGAGAGTACTAAAACGTTATGTAGAACCTCTATTGCTGTATGGTAGTGAATCATGGAATGTGAAAGCACAAATTAGAAAGAACTTGGAGGCGACAGAGATTTGGTTCCTGAGACGAATGCTAAGAATCCTTTGGAATGCTAGAGTAATTAACAGTGTTTGCTTGAAAGAAGCTAATGAAAGCATATCGGGATATATACAGCTGTAAGGAAAAGACAAGCACTTTTCTTCAGTCATGTGATGTGGGGGGAGGCTTTGGAGAATATTGGGACCACTGGGAAGATCAACAGTAGAAGAGGCAGAGGCAGACCAAGAGAGATAATGACGGATGGGTTGTGATGGGTGGGATATCATCGGTGGAACTGATCCAGACGACGAGAGACCGAGATCTGTGGAGATGCAAGAACGCCTACATCAATCAGCATGACACTTGATGATGATGATGATATATATTTTACATATGTCTACAGGAGTTGTTCAAGGCTAAGGCTAAGGTTATCACACAGGAGGTTCACGCTGCCACTAAAGGACTTCCTACCTCAGGTAAGGCTTTTATTACTTCTGGTACTCCCTACGCACAGTTAACGTGGCAACTGCATTAGCCTTGTCACCCCATATTATCAGGTTCAAGCTCCCCCCACACCCCCCACTTCGCATCCTTATGTATGACCTGGTAATAGGATACTATACCTGTCCTACAGAGGTAAAGTTCCAGTACTAGTCTTGCACACCTCACTGGTTTCTGAGTTTCAAGATGAGGAAAGAGAGTTCTCCAACACAGCTCCTGGGGAGATGCTTCTTTGATACTAGGTTGGGAGGAAAAGACTACATCAGCCTCAGTCCAGTAAATGCAAGCTTTGTACAGGGCTCAGGCAACCTGGATTTAAGTGTTATATATAAAACTTGGTTCTCCAGAATTCTCACAAACTGAATGGCTTGTAAACAGATTTCAGTATTTATTTATTAACAGCAAATTTGATATTTGGGAGTCACCATGATGTAGCAGCCAGACGCTCGCCAGCAGATTAGAAGGTCGTGGGTTTGTGTCCCGACGGAGCCAGACTTCTGTTACAAATGACCTTGGCTTTCAGGATAACCCAGCCTTGAGTGCAGTCTTGGAAAGTGAAGGCTGAGAAGTAAGATGCTGACCACATCACCCGAATGCCGATTGGTCTATAAAATATAGATCTAGCCCTATGTGTGCCTAATATGCCTGTAGGCGTGGAAAAGGGTCCTGGACCAGACAGTCCGGTACTAGAAATGCAGTTCGTCATCGATGGAAGCAGAAGTTACACCAGATTAGTAGTTGCACACTCAATTAATCGCATCAGGCACCACCAGTTCTCTGGCAACAAGGCACTTGGCATTTCTGAATCCGCAGTTCACAACACAAACCAAGTTGGGCACACGCAAAAAGCATTTCAAATTAAATCTGCTGCTCACAGTGTCATGCCAAGCACTCAGATCAATAGCTAGGTGACCGAACTATATATTAAAAATCTATATTTGGAGGAAAATGCAACAGCTAACTACTGTCAGAGCAAAAACTGAAAGCAGTAAACCTGTCTGTCCACCATATTGACCAGAAGATAAACCTAAAGATATTGTGAATGGCCATTTATTTGCAGCATTTTGTGTGTGAAATTATTGTCGCATTACTATCTTTGTAATTATGTTATAAAATATGTGTTGATGCCGTTATCACATACAATACGTTTATCTGTTTTTCTTCATATTCAGTATATCTTTGTTCTGTTATAAATTGATGCATATTACGGCTATCTGTGCTGTTATAAATTGATGCATATTACGGCTATCTGTGCTGTTATAAATTGATGCATATTACGGCTATCTGTGCTGTTATAAATTGATGCATATTACGGCTATCTGTGCTGTTATAAATTGATGCATATTACAGCTATCTGTGCTGTTACAAATTGATGCATATTATGGCTATCTGTGCTGTTATAAATTGATGCATATTACGGCTATCTGTGCTGTTATAAATTGATGCATATTACGGCTGTCACTGTTCTGTTAATTAATTGATGCATATTATGGCTGTCTGAATGTCCTTGATGATACAGGCAAGGAGGAAGCCAAACGTTTGATCCGTGAGCACATGGAGCATGACAAGCAAGCCAACAGTGAGCGCAGCTGAGGTTGATGACAAGAAAGCCAACAATGAGCGCAGCTGAGGGTGAACTCTCTGATAACTTTGTTTGCCTTCATCATTCCATGCAGCATATTACAATTCATATATTTTGTTTTGGGTGCTGTATTTTTTAAATGCGATCTAACAGTTATTTCTTTATTGATATCTGTTTCGGCCACCTCTGGTCATGATTACTGATTTCCCCGTGTTGGTTCACAGGCCTCAGTCTGGGGGAGAACAAAGAATTGACCCACTTTCCCCTATCAAGCATGTCATAAAAGTCCACTAATTACGGGTGTTGCCTTTGAGGTGGGAATGCATTTGCCTGAGAGGCGACCAACTGTCTGCTTACAACTAATCCGGATCTTTTAAGTGGATATGTACCCAAAACTCAAGTTCTGGAACAAGACCAAAGTCCAGAAGTGGATGAATTTAGGCCTCACATGTGAAAGCTGTTTAGGCATCTTTCCTGATTTGAATCAGTCGACCAAGGTTTCACGGCTGTAAAAGAAGACACATACTCGATAGACAAAAGGGTTTTGTTTTAATTGTAAGCTTTCTCTTCTTCTAATCTCTTTTTGTTATTCTACTCATTGTTGTTGCTGCCCTTCTTATCATGATTTTCATTTCTTGAAAATGCATTGGTATTCTCCTTGTGTGGGTCCCAGAGCCCATTTAAGGATGTGGGGTGGGGAAGCATAGACTCACTGAGATGTGTTGGGCTGAAAAACTCATATATTACAGCCTAGCTGTAAACCACAACTCAGCGTACTAACCATCTTTTGAAGAAGAAGAAGATACATTGGTATTCCTTGCTGTCCACTAAGACACACTAAAGCATGGCCAACGCACATGTCTGTGTTCTGTTTGTGCATTTGGCCAGAGCCTACAAAGAAATCTGGCTTTCCCGGTGGTTACTTTACTGTGTTTCTAGCCTCTGTAAAAAATCATTATCATCATCCTCATCATTCTCTTGTGCTATCTACGTCACACACTAGAATATACAAAAGCAACATTTTGGGAATACTGTTAAACAACAGTGAATGTTGGAAAATTTTGATGGGAATTACACATAAACTTGAGACTTTTCAAAATAAATGTTTAAGGAGAATTCTACAAATATTTTGGCCAAACAAGATCACAAATGACGAACTGAGGAAGAAAACAGAATGTGCATCACTGGCAAATGTTATCAAAGTAAGACGATGGAGATGGCTTGGACATGTTTGCACAATGCCTTGTGACACTCTGGCTAAAACTCTCCAGTGGACAGCAGATTGGAAAAGGAGACGTGAACGACCCAAGGAAACTTGGAGAAGTACAATAGAATGGGAAATGAAGGAATGTTAACTGATATGGGATACCATGGGCGGAAAAGCAGCAGACCAGCAGCAATGGAGATCACTTGTGAATGCCTTATGTGTCAACAGCGACATGACGAGGATATAGATCTGTGTCACAAAGAGTTCACAAAATATTCCTTTATTATATTCTATTCTGTGCAGTCTTTGCAGTTGTATGGATGCAGTTCCTTTCAGCTCTTGTTGACTTGTGTTGTCAGCATGTGTCTTAAATTTCCTTTGGGCATCCTTGTGTTCTTAGTCTGTTTCCCATTTCAGTGTGTTTGGTGATTATCTGTGTGCAAATAATGCATTATTTATTTGTCCTTGCTGTTCTGCAGAGAGAGAGACCGAGCTGTATGAGATAACACCCGGTGCAGTAAAATTGATCCTATCAACTTTAACTTTCGTTTGGTTATTGCGAAGTTGACTGTTTTGAATGATGACTGCCTGTATTTTTAAAATTGGCAGCTCATGACTGCCGATATGTTAAATGTTGACTGCACAGATGTTGACTGACAAACATGGGTTAAATGTTGACTGCACTGACGTTTAGTGACAAATGTTCACGGTTGAAATGTTGACTGCACATATGTTGACTGACAAATGTCTATGGGTTAAATGTTGACTGCCTGTATTTCCAAAGTTGACTACTCATGACGGCAGCATGTTAAATGTTGACTGCACATATGTTAACTGGCAGATATATCCATGGGTACAATGTTAACTGCACATTTGTTGACTGACAGATATCCATGTGTTCAGGGCTGGCTGCACATATGACAAATATCCATGGGTTCGAAGTTGACTGCACATATGTTGACTGACAAACATCTATGGGTTCAGTTGTTGACTGCCCATATTTTGACTAGCAAATGTCAGTATGTTAACCGCCTGTGTTTAATGTTGACTGTTCGTATGTGAACCCTGTCACCCCTCGATACCCAGAACAGTCCGGTGTCCGCCGCTGCCACATTCCCGCCTGTCTTATTTTCACGCTTGAATAGTGTTCAATAGGCCTAGATATTATATTAACTAAAAATAGCATTTGTAGAGGGGTTGCTTGTGAACAAATTGTCTTTAAAAAAAAAACCCCCACTTTGATGTCAAATATTCCTGAAAGCCTCAGTGATATAGATCATAGGGTCATGACATGAGTTACCCAAATCATATTTTGTTTAGCCCCTAGGGAATGTATTCCATTGAATGCTGCACATCGTTCATGTTTATTGAATATTCCTTTTAAATATCTTTTTATATTTCAGAGGGAAAATGAAGATAAATACATTAAAAAAGAAAATTATGAATAACCTGTGCAATTTTGGGAATTGTTTTATAGCGCTCATGAGGAGACAGGGTTAAATATTGACTGTCCCTGTGTGGGTTCTGGGGCCCCATTATGGGGTTTGGGGGGGGGGGGGTATAGACCCACTGCTCCAAACTATCATGTTGTAAAAGTTGGATAGTTAGAGATATGTGAAATGGATGAGCATTTAAAACTCAGATTCCGGAATAAGACCAAAGTCCAGAAGTGGATGAGCAACCCGAAGTTTCCGCCACAGTTTACAGCTAGTGAATGCTAAGAAGAAGAGTAATGTTGAGTGTACAAATTAAATGTTGACTGCACATATGTTGACTGACAAACATCCATATTTTGAATATTGACTACACACACATTAAATGTGTTAAATATTGAATGTCCATGTCTTATATATTGACTGCACATACAATACATGTCTTTATGTTAAATGTTGACTGCCCACACAGGTTAGTAACCAACATTTTGTACCATTGTTTTGATTGAATCATTCCATTTGTGTGTGGGGAGTGCTGAGTTATACCTACCTGTGTATGTAAAGTGGTTTCAAAAACTTATGTATTTAGAGCACTGTTTCCTAAAGCGCCTTTTTTGAAATAAAAATTTTCCGCGGCACCCATACCTAAGTAAAAGTATGACTATTAAAAAAAAAAAAACACTTGTGTATCTTCGAATATTTTGCGGCGCCCCTGTGAAGAGGTGGCCGCTTCCCGGGGCGCCTTAGTGCACAGTTTGGGAATCACTGATTTAGAGTGTTGATAGTGGTTTGTGAGGATTATCATCACAGCTCTGCCTGATTTCATTCATTCGTTGTCCTGTTGTGGCATGTCGCATGAGGCTTGCAGTCTGTTTCTCCTCCTTCTATCCTGTGCAATCCTTTTGATATCATGGATGGAATTCAGTCCAGCGCACCTTTGGCCTCTCTTGTCAATGCTTTACTTAGGGTTCTCTTGGGCGTTCTTGTTTCCTCAGTCCATCTGTTTCTCATTTCAGTGCCTGTTTAGTGATTCTCTGTTTGTCTCCCTTCAGGATGCGTCCAGTATAGCCACCATCTTCTCTGTTTGTCTCCCTTTAGGATGTGTCCAGTATAGCCGCCATCTTCTCTGTTTCCCTTCAGGATGTGTCCAGTATAGCCGCCATCTTCTCTGTTTGTCTCCCTTCAGGATGTGTCCAGTATAGCCAATATCTTCTCTGTTTGTCTCCCTTCAGGATGTGTCCAGTATAGCCGCCATCTTCTCTGTTTGTCTCCCTTCAGAATGTGTCCAGTATAGCCGCCATTTTCTCTGTTTGTCTCCCTTCAGGATGTGTCCAGTATAGCCGCCATCTTTTCTGTTTGTCTCCCTTCAGAATGTGTCCAGTATAGCCGCCATCTTCTCTGTTTGTCTCCCTTCAGAATGTGTCCAGTATAGCCGCCATCTTCTCTGTTTGTCTCCCTTCAGGATGTGTCCAGTATAGCCGCCATCTTCTCTGTTTGTCTCCCTTCAGGATGTTGTCCAGTATAGCCTTCGCTCTGTTTGTCTCCCTCAGGATGTGTCCAGTATAGCCGCCATCTTCTCTGTTTGTCTCCCTTCAGGATGTGTCCAGTATAGCCGCCATCTTCTCTGTTTGTCTCCCTTCAGGATGTGTCCAGTATAGCCGCCATCTTCTCTGTTTGTCTCCCTTCAGGATGTGTCCAGTATAGCCGCCATCTTCTCTGTCTTCACATTGTTGATACAAGAGGTTGCCTCAATAGTTCTACAATGAAAAATGACCAATCACATCGTTTTGTGTGGCTAAATCAAATATCTTATGCCCTTAATGAATAGTTCACTAAGAGTGAGACTTATCTTACTTTAACTCTTTGGATACCAAGCAACTCTTCATTTGTTTATTCATCATCATCATCAAATATCTTGCCTCAATGTCATGAGGAATCATGCCTCTCCACAACTTGCAGTCTCCAAGATCATGTATCAGTTCATGTGCTGATATCCCACCATGCCATGACAGGAATCTTCTCAAGAATGTTTCTCTCTGTCTCTCCACAAATCTTTCCTGTCATCACAACATGTTCCAACTTCTCTCTTCTTGTAACATGTTCACTCATGATGACTGTCTACACCTTAAGACATTTGCTGCGGGAGATGTAACATTTGTGGGTATGCCCGATGTGCTTTCTTGTCAATTCTGAAATCAATAAATAAATCAGAACTTCTTGTGATAGAAAGAGTGAAATATAATCAAGGCTGATTGCCGGAAAAATTAAGTAATATACGTTTAAAAATGTTTCTATCAAAATGATTATCCCCCATAGATCACTAATGAGTTTGTTAGTAAAGTTAGCAGTTCAGATATGCCATCCCTACCCA